GGGACCTTTTTCTACCCCTCCCCTGGCCACAGCTTAGAACACAAACTGCCCGGGGTCCAGGAAATGCCGAAACCGCACGGCGAGAATCTCCGGGGGACCAGTGATTTATTTTTATCTTATTTTTTTATGAATCTCAGTCTGGTTTTACCATTGGAAAATGCAACTTTATTTTTTTAAAAAATATATATTTTATTGATATTTTACAGAGAGGAGGAAGGGAGAGATAGAGAGCTAGAAATGTCGATGAGAGAGAAACATCGACCAGCTGCCTCTTGCACACCCCCTACCAGGGATGTGCCTGCAACCAATGTACATGCCCCTGACCGGAATCAAACCCGGGACCCTTCAGTCCGCAGACCAACGCTCTACCACTGAGCCAAACCGGTTTCGGTTTGTTTTTTTTTAATAGAGAGGAAGAGAGAGGGATAGAGGGTTAGAAACATCAATGAGAGAGAATCATCGATCAGCTACCTTTTTGCACACCCCTTACTGGGGATGTGCCCGCAACCAAGGTACATGCCCTTGACCGGAATTGAACCCGGGACCTTTCAGTCCGCAGGCCGACGCTCTATCCACTGAGCCTAACCGGTTACGGCCCAACTTCATTTTAACAGTGTGTTGAGGAAAGAGCAGGATTTGCCCTGGCCTGTGTGCTCAGTGGTTAGAGCTCCAGCCCGTGCACCAAAAGGTCTGCGGTTCGGTCCCGGGCCCCGGTCTGGGCATGTGCAGGAAGCAATCAATCCATGTGTCTCACATTGGTCCCCCTCCCTTCGTCCCTCCATCCCTCTGTCCTTCCGCCCTCCCTCCCTCCTTCCCTCTAAAAATCAATGGAAGCCGAAGCTGGTTTGGCTCAGTAGATAGAGCATCGGTCTGTGGACTGAAAGGTCCCAGGTTCGATTCCGGGCAAGGGCATGTACATTGGTTGCAGGCGCATCCCTGGTAGGGGGTGTACAGGAGGCAGCTGGTCGATGTTTCTCTCTCATCCACGTTTCTAGCTCTCTATCTCTCTCCCTTCCTCTCTGAAAAAAAAAAAAATCAATAAAATATATATATATATATATATTTTTTTTTTAAATATATATTTTATTGATTTTTTACAGAGAGAAAGGGAGAGATAGAGAGCTAGAAACGTGGATGAGAGAGAAACATCGACCAGCTGCCTCCTGTACACCCCCTACCAGGGATGTGCCCGCAACCAATGTACATGCCCCTGACTGGAATCGAACCTGGGACCTTTCAGTCTGCAGACCGATGCTCTACCGCTGAGCCAAACCAGCTTCGGCAATAAAATATATTTTAAAAAAATAAAAATCAATGGAAAAAATATCCCAGGTGAGGACTAATAAGGGCAGCAAAAGGAAGAGCAGTGCTTGAACCGCTCTGTCCTGCTTCTCACCTGGAGCGCTCCTGGGACTGCCCCCCAGTTTTGGGGGGGTGTCCAGGGGGCGGGTGGGGGGCTGGTTGACCGATGTGATAAGGAAGGACTGTCGCTCAGGCCACAGGACTTGGGACCAGGAGGCTGAGACAAGCCTCAGGTTAGCCCTGGTGGGGGAGGGCATGGGCAAGGAGAGCAGGGCATCCTGGGCCTGTCATGGCTGCCCTCACTGGGTGCACATATGTGGGGGGGTAAGGCAAGCAGGCTGTTTGCCCATGGGGGTGATGCAGGCATTGACACTCTGGATGGAACCGTGAATGGGCACCCGCACCTCTCCCAGCCCTACCCCCACCAGAGCTCCAGGCCCAAAGCTCTGCCCAAGCCCATGACGATCCTGGTCTCGCCTCTGCTCCCTCAGCCCAGCACCCCTTTCTCTCCGGGTGCTGCCTACAGTCCGCAGAGGGAGGGAGGGACCCCAGATTCTTCTGAGCCGGACAGGCTCTGTGGGGGCGCTTCCTTGCTCCCTCAAAGCTGCTATGGCCCTGGCTGGTTTGGCTCAGCAGATGGAGCATTAGCCTGTGGACTGGTGGATCCTGGCTTATGCCTGGGTGTGGGTTTGATCCTCAGTAGGGAGCGTGCAGGAGGCAGCTGATCGATCAATGATTCTCTCCTATCATTGATGTTTCTCTCTCTCTCCCTCTCCTTTCCTCTCTGAAATCAATTAAAAAAATATATGTATTTTTACATGTGAATGCAGTGAAGGTTTTGGGGTGACGGAGGGCGTGGGCTGGGAGGACTGTGTCTGGGCTAGCTTCCTGCACGCCCTCCACCTGCTCCTGTTCCGCTCTCAGAGTGTATCAGCTCGCAGCGAGGGAGGACGTGGAGAAACATCATTTGAAAAAGCAGCCTCCGGCACGGTGTGATGGCCCCCAGGTCCAGCCCCGCCTTCCTGCTGCCAGGTGGGTGCTGCGGGGCGGACTCTGCTCTGCGCTCTGGCAGGTCTCAGAGGCCTGGGTGTGGGACAGTTTCGCCCTAAAATAAATTGTAATATTCGGATGAACTGAGGCTCGGGAACCAGAACCCTCTTGTGGTTTGAAGTTTCCTGACCAGATGCTTCGGATCCAGATGCAGGCCCAGCCCCCGGGGCGGCGGAGACCTTAAGACACTGTAGTTTGCCGCCCTCTTGTGGTTGGGATGCAGAAAAGCATGCCATTGTTGCTCATCTATCTGTTGGGCAGTTGGGGAGTGAGGCCGCCGCCCAGTGTGGGGCAAAGAGAGTCCCCTCCGTGGCCTCTGCTTAGGGATTCCCGGCTGGTGGAGGCGACTTTCCACAGAACCAGGGTCCAGGCACCAGGCCAACCTGGGCTTTCTCCGAGGGGCGGCCACGCCCGGACCCCGTGGGGCTGCTTGGCCACAGAGGTCAGGGGGCCCCACAGGATCTGAGCCTCTGGCATCTGATCACAGTCACGTCCTTGGTGAACCGTGGAACTGATGAGCTCATCACGTCCTCCTGGCCTCCCTGCCTCCCTCCCTTTTCCCTCTTCTACCGTGATCGTGTCTCCTCCCGCCTTTCCTTCCCGCCCCCTGCAGTAACCCGGCGCAGCCTCCTGGGACGGGCTGAGCAGGATCCCCTCAAAACTGCCACGTGGAAGCCCTAAGCCCGGCCGGATTTGGAGAAAGGGCCTTGGGAGGGACCGTTGTGGCCAGGGGAGGCTGTGAGGGGCCCCTCGCTGAACCTGATGTTTGTAGGAAGGGAAATCTGGCCACAGCGTACATGATGGGACAGCCACGTGAGGGCTCTGTGAGGAGGCGGCCATCCTGCCAGCCAAGCAGGGAGGCCCCAGGAGGAGCCAAACCTACCGACACCTTGATCTTGAACTTCCAGCCTCCGGAACTGGAGCAAAATACCCGTGTTTAAGCCACTGTCTGCGGGACTGTGGCCGGCAGGCCCAGCAAACGAATACACCTGCGGACAAACCCTTATTTCTAGGGGCAGCTGGGGGATGTGGGGGTTTTCGAGGGCATCAACACACAGACTCCCTCCTGGGCCTGGCCACGTCGACATGGGTCTGTTGGACACTTAAAGTGAACACTGTGCAATTATTTATTTATTTTTTTTAAACTTGTTTTTATTGATTTTAGAAGGAGAGGAGGGGAGAGGGAGAGAGAGAGAGAAACATGGATGTGAAAGAGATACATCAATCGGTTACCTCTTGTTGAACTTGTAACCAGGGCATGTGCCCTGACTGGGAATTGAACCCGTGACCTTTCGGTGGCTCAACTGACGGAGCCACACCGGCCATGGCCACTGAGCAATTTTTTAATTCCCTTCGCTCTCCAGAGCGACCTGTGTTTACAGAGGAGGTGAACCTGCCCGGGGTCACCAGAAGAGTTAAACTCGGCTCTGCCTTCAAGGGCTGCCTCTTCCTCTGTAGCCCCGAGCAGGGTCAGAGGTCAGGAGCCAGACCCTGCTGACGCTGGCACATGTTTCCTTCCTTCCTGAGCCCGCTTAGAAAAGCCAGCTCTTGCCGAAACCGGTTTGGCTCAATGGATAGAGTGTCGGCTTGGGGATTCGATTCCGGTCAGGGGCATGTACCTTGGTTGCGGGCACATCCCCAGTAGGGGGTGTGCAAGAGGCAGCTAATCGATGACTCTCTCTCATCGATGTTTCTAACTCTCTATCTTTCTCCTTTCCTCTCTGTACCAAATCAATAAAATATATTTAAAAAAAAGAAAAGAAAAAAAAAAGAAAGAAAAGCCAGCTCTTCTGCTGACCCCTCGCGGGCGCTCCGCCGCCCCGCACCTCGCAGGCCTGTCACCGGCCCCTTTGTCCACACGCTCCTGATCACACTGCTGTTCTCCCAAACACATTTCATTGAAGCTGGAGTCGTGAGCCATGGGAGGTTTGCGCCCCAGGACTCAGCAGAGGCTGCTGTGAGCGGGGAGACCCGGGGCGCAGGCTCCTGTGTGACCCCCGGGAGCTCCCGGACTGGCCGTGACACCTTCATCCCCAGACGGAGGGCGCTAGGGGTTACCCCGGGTCCTGGGAAACCTCTCTGTCAGTGAGTCGGGGGAGACCCGGACTTCCTTAGAAAAATCAGTGTCCCCCCGGGAGCCCAGTGTGGCTGCGACCTGTGGCGGCCTCTCTGGCCATGGGCCAGTGGTCCTGCTGCTCCCGCCCGGCTCTGGGCGCTCCTTGGGCTCTCTCCTTCCCGCCTCGCCCCTCACGGCCCATCCGAACATTCCCCCCCCCCCGGGGCGGGTCCCCCAATGCCAAGGGCAGTGTCCTCGGGCTAAGCTCATGTGTTTCTTCTTCCTCACCCGAGACCCGGTGCCCGCTCCAGAGACCAGCTGGGGGGCCGGGGGGCCGGAGCGCTGGCGTCTTCGCCGTTTCACGTGGATGTCACGGTGGGCGTCTCTCTCGTCCCTCGGGAACCGCCCTCACCAGACATCCACATGCTTACGGATCGAGGCGACAGACGAGTGACAGACGGCAGAGTTTTTCCATGTTTAGCTCTAATTGCTGAAGCTAAGTCTCCACGCCAGGAAATGTACTCTACCTGCAGGCTGGCACCTGGAATACAGTCTTGGGGGCGGGTGGGGCGGGGGGGGCGGGGAAGCGGGCTCAGAGCATGTCGGTGACGGTGGTGGTGTTGAGGTCGATGCCACAGTGCAGCTTGCCGGCCTGGGCGGCCGCCCAGGGCATGGACTCCGAGGTCCACTTGACCGCCCACTGTCCCGCCTTGTTGACCAAGATGACGCCCCCTAGTCCTTTGACCTTTGACTTCATGTAATTTAGTGACACCTCAGCAGCCTCCTCCAAGGTCTTTCCTGGAAACGGGGGCAGGTGGGAAACAGCGCGTTAGCTCCTGGCCAAGGGATCTGATGGCAGAACCATCAGCCGAAACCGGTTTGGCTCAATGGATAGAGTGTTGGCTTGGGGACTGAAGGGTCCTGGGTTCGATTCCGGTCAAGGGCATGTACCTTGGTTGCGGGCATAACCCCAGAAGGGGGTGTGCAGGAGGCAGCTTATTGATGTTTCTCTCTCATCGATGTTTCTAACTCTCTGTCCCTCTCCCTTCCTCTCTGTACAAAATCAGTAAAATATATTAAAAAAAAAAAAAAAGAGAGAGAGAGAGAGAACCATCAGCGGCATGAAAACCCAGAGCCGAGTAGACGATGTCTATTTGAGTGCCCCCAAGAGGGCCCGTCCCCACGCCAGCCCCTCCTCCCTCTGAGCCGGGGCCTTTTCTCCCACCCAGGCCTCGAGCCGCCGCCGCCCCCTGCAGGTGGCAGACGGTACTGCTGACAAGCTGAAAGCAACTAGCGCCCACAGGAGAAGGGGTGAGATCCGGCCCCAGCTGTTAACAAGCAGTTCTGTTTGCTCAGCACGGCCCGGCCCACGTACCTTGCTCCACGTGGAAGAGGGTGAGTCTGGCCAGGTTCACCTTCAGGATGCTCTCCCCGTGGCCCGTGGTTGAGATGGCCCCGATGTCATTGTCAGCGTAGCCCCCGCATCCTGCGCCGAGGAAAGAGGGTTCTGCCTGAGCCCGAGAGGACGCTCACACACAGGCCACGCTAATGCTAATCCACGTTATACCCCACAGGGTGGACAAGGTCGGAGGAGTAGCCATGACCTTGGGATGCAAAGGTGGACCGGTCAGCAAGCACAGGTGACCGCCCTGAAACCAGGAGGATGCCGAGAACCTGGTGGGGAGGAGAGGGGAGGGGAGGGGAAGGGAGAGGAGAGGAGGGGCAGCTACACCAGGACAGCTCCTCCCTGGCCCCAAACCCGCCCGGTCTGCACCCCCTCCCAGTACCCCCTCCTGGGATGTAACGTTTTGTGGCGAGCAGCGTGTCGCTTTGGTGCCACTCAAATCTAATGACTGCGTGGCAGCCCAGCCCTCTGCTTGCTCAGCTCGCTAATTCATGCCCGCACCTGGGCACAGGGTGGCACCTGGGCAGAGGGTGGCACCTGGGCAGGGGCTGGCGCCTGGGCAGAGGGTGGCACCTGGGCAGAGGGTGGCACCTGGGCAGGGGCTGGCGCCTGGGCAGAGGGTGGCGCCTGGGCAGAGGGTGGCACCTGGGCAGGGGCTGGCGCCTGGGCAGAGGGTGGCGCCTGGGCAGAGGGTGGCACCTGGGCAGGGGCTGGCACCTGGGCAGAGGTGGCGTGTGGGACTAAGTCAGTGGATCCGGAAACCAGGGCCGGAGAGAAGAGAGAGGCCCGGTGGCTAGATTGGGGGCACCTTCAGCTTCCTGATCGCCATCTCCTTCCTTGTGTCACCCCAACTTTCAGGTCATGCCCTTGAGGGGAAACCCCATGACCCCGCCAACTGCTGCCGCCAGAGGAGAGGGGCGGGAGCCACCAGGAACGTGAACTTGGTGAAAGGAAAAGGGGGTGGGGGGGGGCAGGAGTCCGCCGTCAGCGCTACCTATGCAGGGCGTGTCCCCCACTCGGCCGACCATCTTGTTCACGATGCCCCCCGTCGAGGTGGCATAGGCCACGTCTCCTTTGGAGTCCAAGGCCACGGCGCCCACGGTGCCCAAGTGTCTGCAGAAGGGAAACAGAAGAGGAGGCAGCAGCGTGAGGGCAAGCAGCGCGGCTCAGGGCCGCAGGGGCAGGGCACGCACACGCAGACGGACGCACCCTGATCCCCACGCTCCTGCCCCAGGAGCCCGCAGGGGCAGCGGGAACAGCCTGCAGCCCCACCTGGAGTGGATGCAGAATTCCCTGGGCCCCTCCCCCCCAGATACTCGGAGTTTTCCCATCGGGGTGGGACCCGGGACCCCGCATTTCCGACACCTCCGGGTGCGGCCGCGGCTGCCTGGCCACCCCGCACTGCCCGTCCCCCGGGGCACGAGGTGTGGGAGGAACCAGGAGCAGCTAAGGCTCGGGGCTCAGCAACGGAAGCATTGGTTCAGATGGAGGGGACTACAGTAAAATGGAAATTACATTAAAAGTAAAAATAAAGAGCCGAGACCGGTTTGGCTCAATGGATAGCGCGTCGGCTTGGGGACTGAAGGGCCCCGGGTTTGATTCCGGTCAAGGGCATGTACCTTGGTTGCGGGCATATCCCCAGTGGAGGGTGTGCAAGAGGCGGCTGATTGATGACTCTCTCATCGATGTTTCTAACTATCTCTCTCCCTTCCTCTCTGTACAAAATCAATAAAATATATATTTTTAAAAAAAGTAAAAATAAAGAAATGCAGGAGACCATTGGGGTTGGTGTTGCTGGGTTGTGGGTGGTGTGTGGAGTGGGCTGGGCAGGAGGACCCCAGGTTCCACTGTGGGCACAGGCTTGAGGTAACTGCTAGGCAATCACACAGAGTCTGCATCGTGGCTAGACAGGGCGGCGCTCGAGGGGCGAGGAGGGGAAACCCAGTTCCTATCACAAGGGAATGGCCGCAAGCAGGTGCTGGCGAGGGCGGAGGGAGGGGACCCTCTGGCACTGCGTGTGTGTGTGTGTGTGTGTGTGTGTGTGTGTGTGTGTGCAGGCTGGTGCGGCCCCGTGCAGAACAGCAGGAAGTGTCCTCCGAACACTAACAAGGGGACTGCCGTTGGGCTCAGCGATGCCGCTCCTGGGAATACATCCCAAGGACCCAGCCAGGAGGTGGAGGAGCCGGTGGTTTGTTGGGGGTCCTAGAAAGAACGCATGCACCCCGATGTCCACGGCAGCGCTATTCACAACCTACAAGGCCAGGAAGCAGCCCGAGTGCCCGTGAGCAGAGGCGTGGACACGGAAGCTGTGGTACATCTACACAGCGGAATACTCGGCGGCTGGGAAGACAAGAGAGCTCCGACCACTTGCAAGAGCATGGATGGGCCTGGGGAGCATCATGCTAAGCGGAATGAGCCCGCCAGAGAAAGAGACGTGTCCTAAGATCGCGCTCCGACGCTCTATCCACTGAGCCAGGTTAAGTTCATTATTAAAAAGCAAAGGAGCCGTCTTCCCGTTACTTAGCGGGCATTACTTTGTTCAAAGAGTGAGACTGCCGAGCGCTCCTGGGCTGCTTCTTGTCAATGAGCCAACAGCCGGCCAGCGTTCGTTCACACCTGAGCAAGACGTCGGCCCCCCGCCCCCGCGGCCGCGCTTACTTCTGTGACTCTGGTTTCTGAGCGTCTTTCCCCTCTTTCACGCGCTTCTCCTTCTCCAGGCGCTTTCTGTTCTTCTCTGTCACCAGCTGCTCCCGAGTCACCGTGCGGACCCCCATGGTGGTGGCAAACTCTGCGGCTCCCCGGTCCGTCAGGAAGCAGTGAGGCGTCTGCACCAGAGCAAACACGGTGAGCTTCCGAAAAAGCTGAGGTCTTTGTAACTGTTCCTACTGTGTGAGAACGACTCCTCTCCGGCACAAAACCTCACAAACGCAAATCTCAGTGGCTTACTTTTCTCAGTGTTGAAAAGAGGCTGGCTCTGAGTTTTCTATTAAAAAAAACACAACTCCACAAAAACCAAAATGACGGTATACTGCTAGAAATGGGACCTGCATATGATCTCTTAAAAAAAATCCATACCCAAGAATATATTTAAACATTTTAGAAAGAGAGAGAGAGAGAGAGAGAGAGAGAGAGAGAGAGAGAGGAAAAGAGAGTGAACGAGAAGGAGGGAGGGAGACAGAGAGAGAGACAGAGAGACAGAGAGAAAGAGAGAGATTGATGTCAGAGACAGAGGCCTCCTATATGCATCCCGACTGGGGGTCGAACCTGCAACCTAGGTCTGTGCCCTGACTGGGAATCGAATCCTGACATTTTGGTGTATGGACGACACTCCCACCAACCAAGCCACCCGGCCAGGGCTACATATGATGTTACACTTAGAGAACATATCCATGTTTACTTAATAACGACCAGTAAACAGCTGGTCTGTCTGTCTGCATGTGCTGTGTTCTATGTGTGTGAGAAGGCCGGACACCGGAGATAACACGGAAGCAGCGTGGTCATGGTGGGTGCCAATGTCCTGGCCGATGGAGGAACTTCACGTCCCCGTCCCTTTGTGCGAGTTGGAAGAGTGACCTCCAGTGCCTCCCAACGGGCAGCCTGTGGGCACTAAGGCGCGGCGGGCCCGAGGGGAAGGATGCTTCCTTGGTCGCCCGTACCTTCTCCATCACTAGCCGCGCCAGCTTGATGGGGTTCGCGATACAGCGGATGGCAGACACGGCGCCCGAAGACAGATCTTTTCCGCTCATGATACTGGCGTCCATTTCCACGTCTCCGTTTGCATTCAAGACGGATCCATAACCTAAACCCACGAGGAAGGTGAAAGCGAGAATCCAGGAGTTAGAACTGGCTTCCAGGTCTCCGCTAGGCCGCCACTCTGACTCGCCCTCCACCCCGTCCCCAAAGGGAGATATATATATATAAAATATATAAATATATTTTATTGATTTTTTACAGAGAGGAAGGGAGAGGGGTAGAGAGCTAGAAACATTGACGAGCTGCCTCCTGCACACCCCCTACTGGAGATGTGCCCGCAACCAAGGTACATGCCCTTGACCAGAATCAAACTCGGGATCCTTCAGTCCGCAGGCTCTATCCACTGAGCCACACCGGTTGGGGGGGGGTAACTGAAATTTTAAAAAGCATGTCGTCTTTACCCCACCACCAAAATACACGACATAACAGGGTATATAAATCTAATAAAATCTAACAAATGAGAGAGAATCACTGATGGGCTGCCTCCTGCACATCAAACCCCGAGGACTGAGCACGTAAACCGGGCCTGTGCCCTGACCGGGAATCAAGAGTGTGACCTCCTGGTTCATAGGTCAATGCTCAACCCCTGAGCCACTCCACAGGCTGTATTTTTTAAATTTACTTTTTGTACCCTTTTTGTACCTTAGTGTTCTCATCTGCTAAATGAGCGTAATAGTTACACCTCACTCCTAAGACTCGAGTTAAATGAGCTAATCATGCGAATTCCGCAGACCGCGGCACTCAGGGTGGCCCTCATTGCCGTCACTGGAACCAGCTGAGTGAAGGGGGCAAACAGGAAAGGCTGCATGGGCCTGGCTTCCCGGAGAAGGCAAACTCGGCCCCGGTGACAGAAGCAGGAGAGCGGGTGCTCGGTGCTGGGGCTGAGTTGGGGACATTGACTGCCAAGCAGCCACTTCTGGGGGCGATGGAAAGCTCTTAAACCTCAACTGTGGGTGCACTCCCCTTCCCAGCAGCATGCCCGAGGCCCCCCCCCCCCCCAAGGCCTGCATCCCCCAAACTCTAGGAGACCCCCCAGCCCTGCACCAGCTGCACAATGGCCAGTGGCCACTCCCCCCGCCCCCCCACCAAGGTCCCTTTTCATCTGACTTCTCCGTGGCCAAAGCTCAGTCTCTCTCCCGCTGCTTCTTCTACCCTGGCTCTTCCTGCCACTATCCCCAACTTCAATAAACGTCCTCTCAAAAGTTAAAATAAAATAAATAAAAAATCTTGCTGTGGTGTGGTTACACGGTTGTATTACGCATTTTTCACAACTTAAAATGGACACAGTTGCCCTCACCGGTTTGGCTCAGTGGATAGAGGGTCGGCCTGCAGACTGAAGGGTCCCAGGTTCGATTCCAGTAAAGGGCACGTACCTTGGTTGTGGGCACATCTCCGGTGGGGAGTGTGCAGGAGGCGGCTGATAGATGTTTCTCTCTCATCGATGTTTCTAACTCTCTGTCCCTCTCCCTTCCTCTCTGTAAAAAAAAATCAGTAAAATATATTTTAAATAAAAATAGTAAAAAGGACACAGCGCATGTGGTATGTAGTCTACTCCCAACGTCCCCACAAAAATAAGTAACAAAAACACCTCTTACTGATGTGAAGAGGTGAAAGGGGAGGAAAAGTTTCCAAAAGTCTAAAGCAACTTGGTGGACAGGGAGTAAGAGGAAGAGGAGACCGGGTTGGTTCGCGCTTTGGAAGGAAAGGCTGGGTGACTCCGGGGAGAGGGGGCCGGGGGGCCGCAAGCACCTGCGTTGAACTCGGGGTCGTCCTCCAGGACGCTGACGGCGCACTCCACCGCGTCCACCGCGCTGCCGCCCGCCTTGAGGGCGCAGAAGCCGGCGGAGGCGGCGCGCAGCACGCCCTGCCGCACCATCTCCCTGCGGTCCTTGGCGATGTGGCAGGCGCCGCCGCCGTGGACCACCACCACCGGGCTCACGGCCGCGGCCGCGGGAGTCCCGCAGGGGTCCCGGCCGCTCGAGGGTTCCATCGGGGACCAGGTCGGGTTTCCACTCCGGGAGGAAAGCGGGGTTCAGCTCGGACCCCTCCTGGAAACCGGGGCGGCGGGGTGTGAGCGCCGCAGAGGAGCCCGGAGCGCCCCCCGATCCCCCTGTCCTCCCTCCCTCCCCTCCCCTCGGGAGCCGAGCCATCGGCCGGCCGGGCAGGTGCGGGGTGGCCCCGGCCCAGAGCCCCGATCGCACCCCTCCCTCCCCCCCCCCCCCCCCCCCCCCGGCTCCACGTCCGGTGTGAGTGTCAGGGGCGTGGCCTGCGGGGCCCCCACGCCGCTGGGCCCGGGGCGTGGGCTCACCGGGGCGCCGCGGGAGGCGGACGCCGGGCTGGGGTCGGGCCGGGCCGCCCCGCAGGACTCGGAACCTGCTGGGCCCAGACCCTCCGCCCGGCGGGTCTGGAAACCGCTGGGCTCGCAACTGCCCCGCCTGCAGGGGCGCCGCGGCCGCGAGGGGGCGCGCGCGGGCGGCCCTAACGCTCAGGCGGCGAGGCCCCGCACCGCCCGCGCTCCCGCAGGGCTCTGGCCCCGACGGGGCGGCGCGGGCCCAGCAGCAGGCAAGCTGCCCGGTGCCGCACCGCCGCCTCCTCCGAGGCCACGGGGCGGCGCGGCTGGGGAGATGCGAGGAAGAGGGTCCCAACCGCTGCCACCGCCCAGGCGCCCCGGTGCGGGGCTGGGGGAGGTTTTGTCATTTAAATGTGAACATCGAGAACGAGGACACCTATAGGAGGGGCTTCTGGTGGCTAACTGGGCTAAAAAAAAAAAGAAGAAAAAAGAAAAGGTGTAGCAGCCGTCTCTGCAGGGGCCGCTCACCGGACTGCACTTGCGGAGAAGCCGCTGAAGCTGCCGCCTCTGCGGTGCATCCTCTGCACCACGTGCGGCCCGGGACCAGCCCTTCCCAAGGCGGCCCTTCCTGCCCCATCGCCACGGAGCGCTACCGAGCAGTGTGGCTGAGCCTCCCTAATCAGGACCTTTTGGCTTTTGAACCAACAAACTGCAAGGATTCGGAGTCACCCTTGCGTGAAAGGACCCATCAGGGGTCGGGGCAGGGACTTCTGCCTAAAACCAACTGCAAGTGTAGTTTCCCTTTCCACTGAGGGCTGGCGGGGCTCAAACACCGAGGAGCAGAGCCCACCGGCCATGCGCAGGGCCTGGCCTAGCCTATGACCCTAACCTTTGACCCAAGCCTATGAGCCTAGCTTATGAGCCTAACCTGGTGTATGAGCGTAGTCTTTGAGCCTAGTCTAGCTTTGGAGCGGAGCCTCAGAGCCTTGGAGCCTAATACATGACAATTATATAAAACTCACACGTTAGTGTCCACAAATACAGTGTAGAATGCTAGTGATCCGGAGCACGGATTCATGCACATGGAAAGGAAATTAATTAGAAGGTGGCTGGCAGGGCTGGACTGGGCAAGACTGGCTGGACACACCCTGGAGCCAACCTCCATGGTTCCTCCCTGAACCTGGGGTGGCACTGTGGCTTGAGCAGGGTCCCTCAGGCAGGTGGGGTCCCTCAGCCTCGCCTGTGGGATTTGGGCTGAAACTGGCTCTCCGACAGCCCCTGAAAAGTCCCAGAGTGCGAGAGGGCACTCTGCAAATTGCTGTCAGACAGGATGTGGAATGCAAACACAAGAGCGCAGTGAATGATTCAGGGCCTACAGCGCCCCAGCAACATAACTCACGGCTGAAGGTGGAATCACATGGCCCCGTGAGGGATTGGGTTCCCTGCTCTCTGGTTTTGGGGTACATCACCTGAGAACTGCTGCTGCCAAGTCACTACAGCTCAGCAGCTCCTGCATTGAGCATCTGCCCCCTTGTGGTCAGTGCATGTCATAGCGACTGGTTGGATGCACGTAGCATATTAGCCTTTTATATACTAATATATATAAATATAAATTTAAATTATATATATATATATATATATATATATATATATATATATATATGCATTCTGCACAAATAGTCTCGGTTCTCAGTTCGAGATGGCAAAGGGTGTGGGCTTCTTCAGAGGAGGAGCGAGATGTGAGAGACAAATCCAGAATAAAACACAAAGCCCTAATCAGTTTGGCTCAGTGGATAGAGCGTCGGCCAGCAGACTGAAGGGTCCCAGATTTGATTCCAGTCAAGGGCATGTACCTTGGTTGGGGGCACATCCCCAGTAGGGAGCGTGCAGGAGGCAGCTGACCGATGTTTCTCTCATTGATGTTTCTAACTCTCTATCTCTCTCCCTTTCTCTCTGTTTAAAAAAAAAATCGATAAAATGTATATTAAAAAAAAAAGTTGCCCGCTGAAACCGATTTGGCTTAGCGGTAGAGCGTTGGTCTGCAGACTGAAAGGTACCAGATTCCATTCTGGACAGGGGCATGTACGTTGGTTGCGGGCACATCCCTGGTGGGGGGTATGCAAGAGGCAGCTGGTCGATGATTCTCTCTCATCGACGTTTCTAGCTCTCTCTCTCTCTCCCTTCCTCTCTTAAGAAATCAATAAAATATATTTAAAAAAAAAATAAAAGTTGCCTTTCAGTCCAGTCCCCAGGTGAGGCTGTTGCTGCTGGTGCAGGGAACATACTCTGAGAAGCAGGTAAGCTGGGGTCTTCCAGAGATGCCCCCGGGGAGTCTCAGGCTTCAGCCCCACCCCCAAGGCTGGGACTTGGGGGCTGTGCATGGACTAAAGAAACCACTCTTGTCACCGTATTGGAAGCTCAGTGCCCCAAGACTGTCTCCTCCCTCCTGAGTGTTTGCCTGGCTGAGAGACCGTTTATTCAAGACCCCCTCACCTCTCCTCTCAAGCTCATGACTTTCTGTTGGTTCCAACCTCACTGATTTCACTAAAATGTATCTGACTTGAACAAGTTCGCCTCTTTCCATGTGGTTTAATTCTTCTCCATCTGCGTATTTGTGGGAACACCAGTTGATATATTTTTACCCCCCCGCCCCCCACCCTGTGCACACACAGCGTAGACAGGTGCTGCGCAGAGAATGAAAAGAATCAAGCTGCAGGCTCACTGGCTCTGCTGGGAGAGATGGAGAGGAGGCAGGTTATATCTGGAACGGTTCGTCCAGCTCTCTCCCTTACTACGCATTTTTTCCCTATAGATTCAAGAAAAAGTGGGGCTCCGATCCCCTTGGAGGGGCGGGACAAAAAGAGGGATGGAGGAAGGAATCCCTCAAGCCAATTTCAAGTCACTTCCAGGGAGGGCTCCTGCAGGTGGGTCCAGGGGCGGAAGGAGCTGGCGGTGAGCACCTGCACTAGCGTTGCTGTGTGACATCCGCCTTCTCTGAAGCAGCCATCACTGATCCCCGTGGATGTGCAGAGATTCCTTAATCCCCTCCACACCCCCCACATCAACTGACATCTAGTAAGGCCAGGCTTCTGGCCACCGGGCAGTGGATCCAACGCAGACCGTTACTGCCTCCTAGTGGCCACAGCGGGGGCTGGTCTCTAAAATCGAGATTCAACAGGATTCCCCAGGGGCTGCTCCAGTTCATCCTCGGGCTGGAGGGACCTTAAGCAGCCCCCTGTCTCATCTTTTCCACTTTGCAGGCGGGATGGCTCCGCGTCCCCCGATCCGGCCCCTCCCGCCACCTGGCGTGCAGGCAGCTCCGTGAGGCCGCGGACTCCACGTGGTTCTGGGGATTCCCGAGTGCCGGGCGCGGCCGATGCCTGTGCCAGGCAAAGAGGTTGCCACCCCGGCCTGGACCCGTGGCTGCGGAGGGCGCCTCGGGGCAGCCGTGCGGCCACAGACGGCAAACGCCCAGGAGGACGCCGCGGGGCGTGAAGGAAGAAAGAGCGGGCTGGCCAGCACCGCCAGGAGCCCCCGGAGCCGGGAGGGCGGCCCGGACCGGTCTCCCTGCAGCACTCGGAAGGGCCCACCTCCGCCCAAGTCCTGGATCTCGGACGCCCGGTCCCCAGAGTATGAGTGAGGACAATGCGTTTCCGTCCCTTATGCCACTCTGGTTGTGGTGCTTTTGCTACAGCCGCCCCGGCAAACCTATAATATTCTGTAGGGCGTCCCCTGTCCAGCCCCTTCCAGTTGTCAATCACTCTTCCTGCAGGGGAGGCAGAGCCGCAAGAAGAAAGGAAGAAGCGCAGGACTCCCTGGGCGAGTGGTACCAGAGAGGTCCCTCCTGATCCGCCTCCCACGCCCCGCGGTCCTTCGCAGTGCATGCTGGGGCTTGTAGTTCCGGCGTGCGGAGTCCTGCGCGCGCATACCCCAACCGCCGGGCGACTTCCTCTGCGGCCTCCGCTCCCGGAAGTTAAGCAAGTTAAAGTTCAACGCTTCCTTTCCCCGCCTCCTAGTCCCGCAGACTGCCAACCTAAGTAGCCAATAGATGGCCGGGCTGGCGTTTTCTTTCACCCGATTGGCTTATAGTTTCGCAGCCGCCCAGGTAAATTGGCCGGGGATTGGTGGAGCACTCAGTTTTGAAAATCCTAGATTTCGCCCGCCCTGCGCGGCCCATTGCTTCCCCGGAGCCGTGAGCCTCCGAGCTCGGGAGCGGAGGGTCTGGGCGGTCCGGGGCCTTGTCGAGGGAGGTCGCTGGCCTTGGATTGAGCAGCACTTAGGAGACGCCGTTCATCCGAGTGAGTGTGTGCGGGCGGCCATGGGGGGCGCGGGGGGAGTGTGTGTGTGTTAGGGTCGCTGAAGGAGGAACGCCGGAGGCCAAGAGAGAAAAAGGATTATACATTTATTGTTACATCTGCTAGCAGAAGCGCTGAGACCAAAATGGCATCAGCGGGGCCGAGTCGGGGGAGCGGGGTATTTATGTCCCTGGAACGACCGGTTAGAGGACAGGGTGCAGGTGGGGGCTTGGGGTAGGCGGTCCACTGGGTGCCAAGGCCGTTCATCCCGAGACTCACAATGAGAATATCAGGACAGTCGCCGGCGGTGGAGGTGGGGCGAGAGCCCCAGCAGAGCCTCGCGGGTGCAAGAATGTGCCCAACGGGGTGGTGGTTAGCAATGTTACTCCTCCCGCCAACTCCCGAGGGGGAGGAGTGGGGGGGCCCTGTCCCCTTTTTGGCCTGGGAATGGGTCACCTCTTTCAGGTGGCGAGGTGACTTTCCTTCGCCCTGGGGCTGGAGATGCTCCGACCTTTCACCTAGGTCACAGGTCCTGAGAACATAACCCGTCCCCTCCGGGTGCCACCCACACCCGGCTGCGTGTCTGGGAGGCCGTTTGCTGACTTGCGTGCGGAGGTAACGCTCACCGCCCAGGTTGCGGGATGGGATTATGCCAGATGGCACGTCTGTGCAGCTGGCCTTCGGGCAACACCTCCCCTTCCCGCTGAGCACCTTTCCAGATGCCAGGGCAGCCCCTGCCACTCCCCAGGCAGGCTCGCTGTCAGAGGTTCACTTCCATCCAGACACCCAGGCCTTGGAGGGGTGGGGGGTGGGGGGGGGAGGCGGGCGGTTTGCCCGAGGCCAAAACGTGATGCCAGCCTGTCAGAGTTTGCATGGAGTAGGTGGCATAGCTTGTGGTTTAAGAACACAGTTTAAATCCAGGCCCCGGAATGGCCAAGTTAATTTCTCTTTGCCTCAGTTACCTCATCTGCACCCGGGGTGAGAATTAGGTGATGCCTAGCTTGGGCACGGGATAGGACTCGGTCAATGGGAGCAGCTCCCTAACTTCTTGCATCCTCAAAGGACAGGCATCAGCAAAGGAGGGTGGCGGTGGTGTCGTGTCCCCCCCCCCCCCCCCCCCCCCCCCCCCGCCCGCTGTGTGGTGTGAGGGAAGGATGGGGGAGGGGCGGTGGGGCGCTCTGGGCTGGCATGGGGCTGACAGGGGCTGAGCAGGACATATTTGCTGCTGCTCCCAGGAGCCTCTTTCTCGGTGCGCCGATTCCTCCTTCCTCAGGCTCATCTTTAAGCTTCTGCTAAGCACAAGCTTCCCTGTGGACGACCCTGGAAAGCCCCAGCCCCCTGAAGGTCTCATGAGGATACTCGAGGAATGACTATCATAACCCTGGTTTTGAAATCTGTAGCCAGTAGTTTGCTCGCTTGCATTTCTTTCACTTGTGACATGTTTCTTTGTCTCCACCTTTGGCTGCTTCCCTGTGTTTGCTTCTGTGATGAGGCAGAGCTGTGAGGTCTGTGTGGCCGGGGGTAGTGGGTGTCCTATAGGACCCAGTGGCTCAGCCTCCCAGTCAGCCGAGGTGGGAGCTCTACGTGTGCCCCGCCCCCTGTGTTGCTTGGGTGCACAGTGTTGTAGGTGAGCTTTGGTTGCTGTTGGCCTCCCTGGGAGGAGTTGACCTCCAAGGCCATGGCTGCGAGGACCAGCTGTGACTACAGTGGGAGAGCTGCTTTGCGGGAGACACCCCTGTGGAGCAGGGCTTGCTTCAATGGGGCTTTGGTGCTTACTGAGTCTGCCCCGTGAGTGTGTTGCTTGTGGACGCGTGGAGATGTAATCTGCTGTGGTCTGAAGCTGCCCACCGAGTGCACTGGCTCTGCGGCCTCCAGAGAGGCCTGCAGCTTCCTCCTGTTTGTATTGGGCCTGGAGGCGCCCAGGTGAGACCCAGCTGTAACGCAAGGCAGGCTGCTGCTGGTGCTGGATCTTGGGTCCTTTATTGACAGGTTTGGGGCCTGCTGACACCTGCTGCAGCTTGTTTGAGAGATTTTAGCTAAGTCTGAAACCTGAGCCAGGACAGGCCTTTCATATGGAATAGCTGCTGCAAACAGCTTGGGGGCCGGGCGGGGAAGGAAGGGGAGCGGCTGTAAATTGGATGGGGCGGGGTGTCAGGGAATCACCTTGGTGGAGCAAACAGTGTTGATGGGGACTCAGATATAGCTGCTGGTCAGTCCTGCAGTGAGATGGTCCCAGCACAGGAACATGACCCCTGTGAGCACCTCTGTCTGGTAGAAAGCTGTCCCAAGTTCCTCCCCTGATGCCAGAGAGTCCTCCCCATATATGTCTGGGTCCCCCAACATCTGGTGCCGGAGCTCAAAGGCAGTGAGTCCGAGTAAGTTCATGCTTGGCCCTTTAAGATGGACACCTGGGTCTCCGGCAGCCTCTGTGTGTCTCCACCCCAAACCCCGCTGATTCTTGTGGCCCGAAGCTATGGGGACTTATTTCCCAGCTCTGGGACCCTGGGTGGAGGGTCTGGTGGGGGGCTGGGACCCTGGCTCCTCATGGCGCCTCTGCAGCCCATGTAGGAGCTGGACCAGTGGTTCTCGCCTCTGCCCTTCCTACCTGTCTCAGCCTGCTTTCTTCTTTACTTCTCTAGTTGTGGGACTTCCATTCAGCAGCGCCCAGGTGGTTCTGGGGAATGGGAAGACACCTGTATTTGAGGTGTAATTTTAATGCGGACGTGGTTAGGTGGTGAGTGCAGGCGTTTGCCTCCACCACGTTCGGGTTCTCCTCCTGAGCTGCTTGTTTTTAAGATAAGAAAACTGGGGAGTGTATTCTCACCACGAGCTTTCTTACAAAGAAGCATTGCTGCTCCGCTTCCCTCCTGCTCTGTACCCACATCGGGGGCATCTCAGCTCCCGAGAGAGGCAGGGGGCCTCTCTGGGGTGGGCAGGAAAAGCAGCCTCTGCCCCTCCTTCTTCCCAAACCCTCCTGGGCCCGGCCTGGAAGAGGCGGTTGGCTCCATGCTCTTTGGCGTGAGGCCTGGGGTCAGCTCGTGTGCGACCCAGGGAGGCTGTGTGGAAGCCCCGCTCTGCCACGGTGTGTGTGTGTGTGTGTGTGTGTGTGTGTGTGTGGTGGTGGTGGTGGTGGTGGTGGTGGTGGTGGTGGGGAAGCCGGCAGGAGAGGAGCCAGCTGTGTTTGGGCAGGTCCTGTGTGGCGCAGCTTCTCCCTGAGCCAGGGCGGCACTGGGTGACTCAATGTGAGCCCAGAAAGGCCACCTTAGGCTGTGGACACCGGAATTGGTGGGAATCGTGTACTTGTGGGGCGGTGTGGGTGGGGGCGGTGTGCAGTGGGGGGCCGTGTGCGGTGGATGGGGGAGCGGTGTGGGTGGGGGCGGTGTGTGGTGGGTGGGGGGCGGTGTGCAGTGGGGGGCCGTGTGCAGTGGGGGGCCGTGTGTGGTGGATGGGGGAGCGGTGTGGGTGGGGGGCGGTGTGTGGTGGGTGGGGGGCTGTGTGCAGTGGGTGGGGGGCCGTGTGCAGTGGGTGGGGGGCGGTGTGGGGTCGGGGGCTGTGTGCAGTGGGGGGCCGTGTGCGGTGGATGGGGGAGCGGTGTGGGTGGGGGGCTGTGTGTGGTGGGTGGGGGGCGGTGTGCGATGGGGGGCCGTGTGCAGTGGGTGGGGAGCAGTGTGCGGTGGGTGGGGGGTGGTGTGCAGTAGGGGGCCGTGTGCAGTGGGTGGGGAGCAGTGTGGGTGGGGGCGGTGTGCAGTGGGGGGCCGTGTGCGGTGGGTGGGGAGCAGTGTGCGGTGGGTGGGGGGTGGTGTGCAGTAGGGGGCCGTGTGCGGTGGGTGGGGAGCAGTGTGGGTGGGGGCGGTGTGCAGTGGGGGGCCATGTGCGGTGGGTGGGGAGCAGTGTGCGGTGGGTGGGGGGCGGTGTGCAGTAGGGGGCCGTGTGCAGTGGGTGGGGAGCGGTGTGGGTGGGGGCGGTGTGCAGTGGGGGGCCGTGTGCGGTGGATGGGGGAGCGGTGTGGGTGGGGGCGGTGTGTGGTGGGTGGGGGGCGGTGTGTGGTGGGTGGGGGGCGGTGTGCGATGGGGGGCCGTGTGCAGTGGGTGGGGAGCGGTGTGGGTGGGGGCGGTGTGCAGTGGGGGGCCGTGTGCAGTGGGTGGGGAGCGGTGTGGGTGGGGGCGGTGTGCAGTGGGGGGCCGTGTGCAGTGGGTGGGGAGCAGTGTGGGGTGGGTGGGGGGCGGTGTGCGGTGGGGGCAGAGGGAAGGCGGTGGGGGAGCGTGAGGAGGACGGGCCCTTCCTGCGGAGAGGAGGCCAAGGGGTTGGCATTTGGATGGCGCACTCTGTTCAGGCCCGTGGTGTCTTGTGGTGGCGGGGGCGGGGCTGAGGCCTGGCAGGCTCTCCCTGGAGGAGGGCTCTCCCTGAGCCCTGCCCCGCCCCTGAGCCTTCCTTTGCTTTCCCAGACAGCAGCCATGGGGACGACCGCCCCCGGGCCCGTCCACCTGCTGGAGCTGTGTGGCCAGAAGCTCCTGGAGTTCGTGTGCAACGTGGACAACAAGCACTTGGTGTGGCTCGAGGAGATCGAGGAGGAGGCCATGCGCATGTTCACCAGGTGAGGGCCGGCCGGGCCGGCAGGAGGCGCCAGCTCTGCTGCTACAGCTCTGGGGACATAGCCGCCCATTTCCTGCCTGGACAGGCGGACAGACAGGCTGCCAGGGTCTCTCCCCAGTGCCCAGTGTGCTGCGGCCCGAGCTAGTGCAATGGGGAGGTGGGGAGAGTGTGGGCCGGGCCTCAGAGGATGGTGCTGCGTGTGCTCCCTGGCCGCCGTGCTCTCCTGCTGCGTCCCTCGGGGAAGCCCCAAGTGCCCGGCTGTGGACTTGGCACAGGCCTTGGTGGCCTTGGAGGTCTCCCTTGGTGCCGGTAACCCCAACTTGACCTGTCACTGCTAGGAAATGGGTAGGGGCGGGGCTGGGGAGCGGAGGAGGCCAGGGGATCCAGGCAGCCACGAACATCACTCTTTTACCAAACAGAGAATTCAGCAAAGAGCCTGAGCTGATGCCCAAAACGCCTTCTCAGAAGAACCGACGGAAAAAGAAACGGATTTCATACGTTCAGGATGAAAACAGAGACCCCGTCCGGAAAAGGTAGGAGGGGCGGGGCTGCCTGTAGCCGGTGTTGGGGGGGGTGTCAGCTGGGCAGTCGGAGTCTGGAGACCTGGTGCCCACAGGAGTGTAGTGGGCGCCGGGCAGAGGGGGAGTCACCCCGGAAATGGCCTGACCAAAGACCGCGGAGTCCCAGCGTGTGTGTCTGTGTTGGGGTCGGGGAGTCTGATCTGGGCCGTGGGGGATGGGAAGCGTTTCTAAAGGTGGGAAAAGACAGAATCCAAGTTTCTGTTGGGGCGAGAGCCAGCAGTTGTGGCAGTGGGGGCCTGTTGCTCAGCCCCTGTGCCCTGCTCGTGGGGTTACCATGGAAATGACGGTGGGCCCTCTGATGGCTGCACCCAGGCGACCGGCACAGGAGGCTGGTCTTGGGGCGGGAGGTCCCGGGCACATACCCCAGCTCTGCCCCTCGGAAGCTTTCTGTCCTTTTGTTAATCCCACTCTCTGAGCCTCAGTTTCCCCAAATCTGAAGTGAGAACGGCCCCTGCCTCTCAGGGCTGGGGGTTAAGTGATAACACGAGGAAAGCCTGCAGCAGGGTCCCTGTGACTGTGATCTTCCCGGAGTGCGGGGGCCTGGCCTGTCCCCAGCTTCCAGGCCGGGAAAAGGAGGCTCAGAGCGGGCGGCCGGCGTCTCCTGGCAACGGGCAGAGCCGGGCCAGAGCCTGCCTTCTGCCTCCCAGCCCTTCATCTGTGTCCCCTGAGCTGGCGGCCCCCGGAGACCGGTGCCCCCCCTCGAACCGGTGCCCTGCCTGCTGGGTGCTCAGCCTCCGCTCTGTGGCTTTGGCAGGTTGTCCCGCAGGAAGTCTGCGAGCAGCGGGGACAAGGGGGAGCGGCTGGCCACGGCGGCCGGGGAGAACGGCGCCGTCGTGCGGCGGGTGACTCGGGCGGCAGCGGCAGCTGCGGCGGCGGCCATCGTGGCTTCTGCTTCGCCCACCCACGGGTCTCCCACCCTGCTGACCAGGACGTCCAAGATCGTGCCCAGGGTGGAGATAGGCGCCGGCGAGCGCCACAAAGCGGAGCAGCACGTCAGCCAGCTCGTTTCTGGCCGGGCTCCGTCCCCAGCCCCGGCCTCCCACAGCAGCCCGATCTCAGATGAGGAATCGACACCCCAGAAGTCAGAGGCCGGGAGGCTGGAGTCAGTTGCCGTGAGCTCTCTGATGGCTACACCCCAGGACCCCAAGGGCCGAGGGGTCAACGCGGGCCGGTCTGCCTCCAAGCTCAGGATTGCACGGACCTCGCCAGCCTCCCCGTGGCAGGAGCGGGTGCTGGCACCCATCCTGCCAGATAACGTGTCCAGCCCCAAGGACACCCGCGTGAACCGGCGGTCAGTGCGGCGCAGCCTCATCGCCCCGTCCTCCCCGGGCCCCCAGAACTCTCTGGCCCAGAAGTACTGCCTGGTGGACAAGCCAAGGAGCCCCGTCCGCAGGTCAAACAGACTCGTCCAGAATGCCACCCAAGAGCCGGCCGCCTCTGCCCGCATCATCTGTGAGTTGGGGGCTCAGTAGAGGGTGGGGCGCGGGGGTCCTGGGGGCCCCATCTAATCACCCAGCGAGGAGCTGTCCATAGAACTCCTTGGGGGTGTCAGTGTTCCGTACCCGCCAGCCACAAACCAGTGTGTGATTGCGGAGCCGGGCTTTGCCGTTGTTACGTTTTACTTTATTGAGGTGTACGGGGCCACACTTCGCTGGTGTTGACTGTGTTGGACGGTGCAGGTCTCGCCAACCCTCTGGGTTTACAAATGAAGAAACTGAGGCCAGGGAGGTGGACTGCCGAGCCTGTAATTAACGCCATTCCGAGACTCCCCGGGGCCAGTGTGCCCCGCTCTCCGCAGCTGCTCTCAGCACCACGTCTGTGGGCTGGTCTGTGAGGGAAACTGTTGGGTCTGAAGATGCTGGGGTGAAGGGTGTGAGCAGTCACCCTGCCGCCTCATCCTGGGGGACAGCAGCTGGGTGTGAGGACCAGCTCATCCCTTTACCCCCCCTCGACTCTGGCAGGTTCCAGGAACCTCCTCACCTGTCAGCTGGGGGACGATGGCGTCTGCTGAAAGGTCGGGGTTCCTTTAACCCCGCAGGGCGCGTAGGACAGTGATTGCCGTGTACAGGGGGCTGTGGCTTTCACAGTTTCTGTCCTCAGTGGCTCCCAGCTCAGAGGACATGGTCCCGTGGGAGCTCGGAGGCGGACAGGCAGCTCTGAGTCAGGCCGCCTGCCCGGAGGAGGTGGCCTGCCAGTGGAAGGGGTCCCTGGCGGAGCGACCAGCTCGAAGGCAGACCCTGAGGCACGAAATGGCAAGGGATGAGGCGCTGGGACTCCCATGCCCACAGGCTGGGGCCCTTGATGGCTGTTGGGAGGTTCCTGGCACTTTATTAAGAGTGTCCAAGAGGGAGGGAGGGAGGAAGGCAGGGAGGCAGGGGGACCAGGAGGAGGCTGCTACAGGGTCACAGAGGATGGAGAGGGAGTTGGGTGGGTGGTCAGGACGGCCGGGTTTTAGGTGAATATGGATTAAGATTAGAGTCAGCACCTACCTGGCACTTTAAGATTTATAAAACTCAAGGCTACCTCATTTGGTCCCCCAGTAGCTCTGTTAGCCTGCTGGTATTTCCCCATTTCACAGAGGAGGAAACTGAGGCTTAACGAGGTCACTGAGTCTGTCAGCCACTTGCTGGGGAGCCTCCCGGAGAGCCCGGGGTGGGGCTGAGGCCGGCAGGTGCTGGCACCCAGGAAAGGGCTTGCTCTGGGCCACGGGTCTCGGGGATACTTATCCTGGGGCGCATGCAGGCGTGTGGTCTGACCCAGTCTGTGCTGGGTCTTGAGAAAGGCCCAGATGGGCCTGCTGTGGGGATTGCCTCAGGCCGGAATCTGACCCTGGCAGAGGCCCCAGGAGTGGGCAGGAGAGACTCCAGAGCCTGTTCTGTTTCTGGATCTGAACCCAGGTCCCCAGCGCTTCAGCCACTCCTGCCTCCCCTCCCCCTCGGCCCTGTCATTTGATTTGCATTTGTGGGAAGAAAAGAGGGTCCAGAGGGAGAAGGCCTAAGCTCTGGCGCTCTAACCACTAAGCGACCATCGAGGTGGCACTTGGCTGGTTTCTGAGGTCAGCTTTTGTTCCTTTGCTTCCCCTCAGGTCACAGTTACCTGGAGAGACTCTTAAATGTTGAGGTGCCCCAAAAAATCAGGTGAGTCCAGTTCCAGGGTTTGGGGGCCTCCCAAGTCTGGGCCAGGTTGTCCTGGTGTGCTTAGGACTGGAAGCATTTCCTGTGCCCGACCCTTCCTCCTGGGCACTGCTCACTGCAGCCCAGCCCTGCCCCAGTCTGACCAGGAAGGAGGGGTGCGGGGTCAGGTCTTACATTGCCGCCAGTACCGCTTGTTAGCCCTGGCCTGGCCCCTCCGCGCTCCTCCTGGGATGTGGGCGCTGTAGGTTGTCAGATCCCAAGGCCTGTGGACCAGCCAGTGTAGCCAGGGGAGCTGCCTGCTGGTCAGGCGGGAGGACCCGGCTGGGCTGCTCTAGGGTCACACCCAGCCCTGCTTTGGGCGGCGCTGCATCCTGCCGGCACTAACACAAGGCTCCGCCTTGCTTTGCAGCAGGGCCAGTGCTTGGGATGGGGACACGGTGACTGCAGAGCTTAGCTGGCCCCGTGTGAACGGAGAGGTCTCAAAAGAGACGTGGCTTCTGGGTCTACCCTGGGGTTGGAGGCGGAGCTCCTGTGGGCACGATTTGGGCTGGCGGGCCTCACAGTGTCTCCTACTCGGCTTTCAGCCCCAAGGAGGACCCCAGCAAGGAGGCGGAGCCGGAGCCGGAGCTGGAGGCTGAGCCCGAGGTGAGGCGGACAGGCCAGGGCGGGGGGCTCCAGGGCCGTGGGCGTGTGCTCCGTGCTGTGCGTCCCAGTGTGGAACCCTGACGTCCTATTGTGTGTGTTTTCATCTTCACTGACTATCTTTACCCATTGATTTTTTTTTTTTTTTTTTTTGAATGGAAGGGAATGGGGGAAGAAAGAGAAATATCCATATGAGAGATACACATTAATTGGTTGCCTCCCACATGCATCCTGGATGGGACTGGGGATTGAATCTGCAACCCAGGTATGTGCCCTGGACCGGGAATCAAACCCATGACCCTTGTCTGTCTGCTGAGCCACACCAGCAGGGCTACAGTCTTATTTAAAAATTTTACTTATTTATTTTAATACACACACACAGACACACATAATTTATTTACTTTTTGGTTAATCTTCAAGGTTATTTTTCCATTGATTTTTAGAGCGAGTGGGAGGGAGGGGGAGAGACACAGAGCGAGAAACGTGGACCTGAGAGACATACCATGATTGATTGCTCCCCTCGCACCCCCACCAGAGGCGGGATCTAGTGGGGATCTAGCCTGCAACCGAGGTACTGCCTTTGACTGTATCAAAACCGGATCCCTTCAGCTCACAGGCCAACACTCAATCACCACACCAAACTGCCTGGGGCTGACTTTGGTTTTAGAGGACGTGGATTAAAGCTGGGGACAGTGAAACAGGAAGGGCTCAGACAACAGGGGGGGCTTAAGGAGGAAGTGAGCCCTGGCTGGGCTGCTCTGGCTCACTGTGATGTCAGAGAAAAGGGGCCAGGTTCAGGGGTTTGCTCACATAAACTGCTGCTGCCTTGGTTGCAAACCCTAAAGTCTTGGTTCTTCCCTCAGGTCCCCAAGATTGTCACTAGCACGCCCGGCTCGCCGCCTGTGGCTGGTGGACAGGACACGCCCCCCGGTGAGTCTGCCTGACCTGCCGTGTGCATGGACCAGCACCAGGCGGGCTGGGGCCTCGGCCTGCCCTGCCCTCGGGGGGAGGGACGCTGAAGGTACAGGAGACCCGTCTCCTGCCCTCCTGCTGCAGCTGCCCGGTGCCGTGTGAGTGGCCATGGCTGTTGGTGCAGGAGGAGCTGGTTGCTGGGTCTTGTTTTGTCCTTGCCACTGGCTCACCTCCCACCTTTGTGGGTCCCTGTCTGCAAAGTGGGGAGTGCCATGAGCTCCATTCTAGGTGCTGGGTGCAGCTCCCGCCTCCCTGGTGGGAGAGAGCACAGTAGTTGTGGGGCCTTGAACTCGGCTTCCCCAGTGAGCCGGGTCAGGGAGAAGGCCATGCCAGCTCCACAGCTCCCAGGGGCTGCGAGGGCCCCGTGGAACGCAGGGCGGGGAGAGAGGGCGTGAAACAACATGTACCACCCGCTCCCGTGCGGACCCTGCAGGGAGCCCCGCCTCCTCCTGCCCTGTGGGCTCGGGCTGGGGCCAGGAGGAGGGGACTGGAAGCTCGTCAGTGGTGCTGGGAGCCCAGCTCAGCCTGGCAGAGGCGGCCAGCCTGGTTTGTCCTGAGTTCTCACAGAGGCCCAGCTGGGGGTGAGCGGTCCGTGGGCTGGGGATGCTGTGCTGGCTCTGGGTGTCCACAGCTCTGCCCGGCCAGTCGGCGCTAAGGCTCTGCCACGGGCCACCCTGGGGTCTGCCATGGCTGTGCCCGTGGGCCCCTTCCCGACCTGCCGTACGTCCCTGCTCCCTCGCTGAGATCGCTGTCTCCACAGAGGCCACGGCCCACCGGACAGCGGGCCCCGGGGAGCCGCCGCAGAGCGCCAGGTGGGTATCTGGGGAGGGGCACGGACCTCCAGGCCCCTTGGGGAGGGTGGGCATGTGGTCAGGGCGGTGCTCTGACTGATGAAGGCGGCAGCTGGATGCTGGGGGCCTGGCCGGGAGGAGTGCCCAGATCCTGGAGCCCATCCTCTGTGTCCTCCTGGCGTGCAGCCTTGGACTGGCCACTGCCCTTTCCCTGCCTGGGCCGTGGAGGGGGGTCAGAGAGACCCGCCTCTGCCGCCTGGCGTCCAGTGGCTGGTCCCGGCTTTCTTCTCGGGGTGAATTTTCCTGGGGTGTGGCTAGGGCTCTGGAGGGGGTGCCGGGTCAGCGCCGTGATGCTGCTGCCTCCCGACGCAGGAGGAAGCGCAGCTACAAGCAGGCTGTGAGTGAGCTGGACGAGGAGCAGCAGCTGGACGAGGAGGAGCTGCAGCCCCCCCGGAGCAAGACCCCTTCCCCGCCCTGTCCGGCCAGCAAGGTGAGTGGGCGTCGGCCTCCCCCAGGGCCTGTGCCCTGCCCTGAGTCCTGACCCGGCCCGTCCGCAGGCGGTGCGGCCTCTCCGGACCTTCCTGCACACCGTGCAGCGGAACCAGATGCTCATGACCCCTGCCTCCGCCTCCCGCGGCAGCGTCATGAAGTCCTTCATTAAGCGCAACACCCCCCTGCGCGTGGACGCCAAGGTGAGGGAGCCCGGCCCCGAGCTGAGCGCTGCTGGAGGCCGCACGACACAGGCTGCTGGCTGGCCTCTTCGGCCGTGTGCCGCCTCCACAGCTGGGGCTGTGCTGTGACCCCCGGGCTGGGAAGTAGCAGAATTGGCCTAGAAGGCGCCCGTCCTACCCCCACCCCACACCCAGTGCCTGGAGGCCTCGGTGAGGGACGGTGAGGGACGTCACTGGTTGGGATGGGCTGGGTGAGGTGAGGGGTGGCCCGAGCAGATGCCTTGGCAGAGCCCGGAGCCTGGCCAGCTTCAGGGCATCTCCTCGGCATTAACTCGGCTTTTCCCTGTCTCCTCTCCTCCACAGTGCAGCTTCGTTGTAAGTAAACCTCTTCCTGCCCTTAACCTCCTCCGCCCAGCACTTGCTCTAACCAGCTGTGCACACTGCCCGCGCAGAGCACTAACACGCTAAGCTGGGATGGTGAGGGAGGTGGGGGCGAACCCGAGGTGCTGGGCCCGCTGGGGCAGCCGGGCCAGACAGGCCTCCTCCCTGCCCCTGCCCCTGCCTCTCTCTCTGCTCCTGCCCCTGCCCCTGCCCCTGCCGCCAGGAGGAGGAGTGTCAGGGCCTCCCCGAGGCAGAGGCAGCAAAGGGGGTGTGACCTGCAGCTGTCACAGGCCCCCGCTTGTGCTTCCCGGGTGCTTTCCTCGGAAGACAGGCAGGTGTGATGGCCGAGGACCAGCCTCCTGCTGGCCTCTGGGTCTGGCCCATTGGAGAGCCAGGGGGCCCCAAACCCGCATCCTCCTCAGGGCCTCCCCGCACTATCCACTGAGCCAAACTGGTGAGGGCTGTCTAGTTTTCCTTCACTTGAGCAGGCCTCACTTCATTCTGAAGGCTGTTGTCACTGAGTGCAGACGGAGGTCTTAGTGACCAGTCCTTGGCTTTCGGCCCCTGACCAATGTGGCTGCACTTCCTTCTGGCACCCATAGTTTCTGATGAGAAGTTTTCAGTCATTCAAACCACTGCCCCAGCCCCGCCTCTTCAGTAACGTGTCTTTTGTGGCCGTGTCTGAGGTGTTTCCCTCTGGGTGAAGCTTTCAGCTGTGTGGTTATGATGTGGCGAGACACGGCTTTCCTTGGATTTATCCTCCTTGGGCTTGGATGACCTTCGTGAATCTGTACATTTACCCCATTTGGAGCGCTTCCAAGCCGTTCTTCCCCCACGTCCCCCTGCACTGCACCTTCCTCAGTCTGTATTTTCCTCCATGTTTTCTCTGTGCTCACATTGGTGCATGTTGTTAATCTGTCTGCATGTTTCACTGACGTCTGTCTTCTTCCTCTGTTCCCACTGCATTTATTTCGGGGATTTTTATTCTCAAATTCCCATTTCGATCTTCCTTGGACCTCCTGCTGGCTGAGAGGATGCTTCCCCAGGTGTGCGGAGAGCTGGGATTGCTCGTTAGGCACACAGAGCACGACAAGGTTCCAAAGCACAGGCAGACTCCCAGTCTCGTTCCTCGCTCTCCTTTCAAATGCACCAGAACAGTTACCCTCAGAGCGCACATCCAGCTGCACCTAATTCTTGTGCTGCCCACAGTCTGGCAGGGCTAAGTCGAGGGCCTTAGGGTCTCTGAGAAGGAAGACGGAAGGAGGGCCTCAGTCTGAGTGGCAGTGGAGGGTGTTTGGGGGTGACTCTGCCCTCAGAAGCAGGCTGGTGCTGCTGCCCATCTGGCTGGAGGCTGTGGGCCTGGGGGTTGTCCTGGGCCGTCCTCCTCACACGCTCCCCCCAACCCCCACCAGGAGAAGGAGCGGCAGCGCCTGGAGCAGCTGCGGCGGAAGGAGGAGGCCGAGCAGATCCGCCGGCAGAAGGTGGAGGAGGCCAAGCGGCAGCGGCTGGAGGAGGTGAAGCTGTAAGTGGCCTGGTCCCGGCGCTGGGCGGCCCGGTCCCGGCGCTGGGCTCCGCTGACGGCCCTGTGCCCGCAGGAAGCGGGAGGAGCGCCTGCGCAAGGTGCTGCAGGCCCGGGAGCGGGTGGAGCTGATGAAGGAGGAGAAGAAGAAGCAGATTGAGCAGAAGTTTGCTCAGCTGGATGAGAAGACCGAGAAGGTGCGAGCCCGGGCTCTTGGGCGGCGGGGTGTCAGGGCTGCTTCCTGCTGGGGCCCACGCAGCCCTCTGGTGTCCCGAGGGTGAGAGCTGGACCCTCGTAAGTTGGGGGCTTGACGCCCTGGGCACCTCCTCTGCGACAGGGACCTGGGGTTGGTCTGAGCCCCGCTGAGGCGGGAGGGCTAAGCTGCAGCCCTTGGCGAGTGGGTGGGCTGGTGCCTGGCACCCCTCTGGGCTGTGCGGGGTTGCTGGGGCCTGGGTGCCTGTCACGTTCTGGGACCCGCTCTAGGGTGAGGGCGGGGGCTGCTCTCACGGGCACGTGTGGCTGCCCTGCAGGCCAAGGAGGAGCGATTGGCGGAGGAGAAGGCCAAGAAGAAGGCAGCAGCCAAGAAGATGGAGGAGATGGAGGCGCGCAGGAAGCAGGAGGAGGAGGCGCGGAGGCTCCGGAGGCTGCAGCAGGTGCGGGCGGGGCGGCGTGGGCACCGAGGGGGAGGTGGGGCAGAGGGGCGCCGCCTGAGCCCCTGGGGCCTGCTGGGCACACCCCGCTTGCTTGGCTTAATTCTGGAGGCTCTTTGGCTTCAGTCTGAGGAGGATTAACACAGGGTGGAGATGGCACTCTGAGCCTAAGCACGTGTCTCAGCTCTGTCCTATGAGCTGTGTGGCCCGCACAGGGCACTGGCCTCTGCGCTTGGGGTCCTCCCGGTGGCGGCGGGATCTACGCGGTCAGGCTGCTGTGGGGGCGGGAAGCTCTCCCTGGACGAGGGGACCTGCTGCTTCTCGGAGCTCCATCTACGGCCCCGGGGGTACGCACCGGTCTGCGTTGTGACACTGGCTGACCTTGCTGCGTGTGCTGTGCCGGCACTGCTCTAGGGATGTGCATGCACACAGCGACCCCGTGAGGTGCAGGTGTTTGTGCATTTGTCCCCATTTGGTAGATGAGGAAGCCAAGGCCAGAGGCTTCAAAGGTGGCCGTGGCTCCGCGGTGCACCCGGCCCCAGTCTGTGCCCTTAACCCCAAGTCTGCCGCGGCCGCCAGAGCAGGGGCCGCAGGGTGCCTTCGTGGGCTGGTGGCGGGGATTCTGTGATCCTGGCGTGGGGCCTCCCTGGCTCAGCCCTGACCGTCTAGTGCCTCCTTCCCAGGCCTGGCAGCCTGACCTGCTGTGTGTTCGCAGGAGGAGGAGGAAGAGCGGCGACACCAAGAGCTGCTGCAGAAGAAGAAGAAGGAGGAGGAGGAGCAGGAGCAGGAGCGGCTGCGCAAGGCGGCCGAGGCCAAGAGGCTGGCGGAGCGGCGGGAGCAGGAGCGGCGGGAGCAGGAGCGGCGGGAGCAGGAGCGGCGGGAGCAGGAGCGGCTCCAGGCCGAGAGGTGAGGCCCGAGGGCCAGGCGGCGTCCTGCCACGTGAGTCTGTGAGGACGAGAGACGGAGCGGCCCCCTACACAGCTGCCCAGAGGGCGACGCTTCCCTGGGCTCTGCCCCCAGCGGCCTGCAGCAGGCGGGCCCCCTGGGGCGGTGGCTCGGGAGAGGGAAGGTGTGACGGGCGGGCTCCCTGGGGACTCTCTTGTCTCACCTCCAGCCAGGGTGCTGCCCCTTGGTTCATTCTGTCCTCAGCTGACAGCGTGGGGTGCTCAGAGGACCCCGGGGGCATTTGAGCAGGAGCTCTTTGAGGTGCACTGCAGACCCCGCTAAACACGCCTCCTCTGTGGTGATGAGAACTCAGCCCCCCTCCCCGCCCCATCCCTTCCGACTGCCCCCCTGGTATCCCTGGGGCAGAGCCTGGGTTTGAGCTCCTGGAAGCAGAGGTCTGGGTGGGGCAGGACCCACAGCCGGTCCTCAGCGGAGTGGGCGTGGCAGCCGGGCCTGAGCACAGGGGCCTGCTCCCTGCTGGTCTTTCTCAGTCACTGCTTTTCTGTGGGAGGAAACAGATCGGTTCCACTGATTTATGCCTTCGGCCGCTGGCTCTTTTTATTTTTTTAGTTCTTGATTTCAGAGAGAAAGGGTGAGGGAGAGAGAGAAACATGATGAGAACCATTGGTCCGCTGCCTCCAGCACGCTCCCTTCTAGGCATCAGGCCTGCAAGCCAGGCATGTGCCCTTGCCCAGAACCGAACTGGGGACCCTTCAGTCTGCAGCCGACACTATGCACTGAGCAAACCAGCTAGGGCCATTGATTGATTCTTGTGTGTGCCCTGACCCTGGGTCGAACCCGAAACCTTGGTGTAGCGAGATGACCCTCTGACCATCCAGGGCTCCCTGTGCCTCTTGATTGACACCAAGGCGCCGTGGTCCTGGGGCAGTCGGAAACGGGTCTGGGCGGGGACAGGTGATGTGGCTTTAGGATTGCATGTGTGCCACCCAGTGCCACGGTCTTCATGGGGGTGACGGGTGATGGTCGTAATGGTGGTTCTGAGCTACACGCTCTACACGTGTTTCTTGGCGAATCCTCATCTGAAGGCCTGGTGGCATAGGAGCCAGCAGCTCCACTCCTAGCGGGGCGGGGGGAGGGAGGGGAAGGGGGGCAGGTGCAGAGGGTTAAATGCCTCACTCAAGCCACAGCTGTAAGTGGAGGTGGTGCCAAAGCCCAGTAACAGCCAGCCCTGCTTCACGTCGGGCCTGGAGCCCAAGGTCCACCCTGTGGGCTGGGACCGTCCAGGTAACTCAGGTTTTCTCACCTGGTTCTCGGGGCGACTGGAGGGAAGGTGGGATCCCTGTGTGCAGCAGATAAGGCTGAAGCTCAGAGCTAAGTCAGCCGGAAGCGGGGCCAGGTGTGGTGGGCTCCAAAGCCGAGTGCTCCTGCCCTGGCCACGGCTCTTGATCCGTGGGGCCCCGGCACGGCGGTGGGCTCTGGGCCACTGTGCCCGTTCTGCCATTTCACCTTCTACGGCCAGCGCCGTGGGCCCGGCTTCCCTGGCAGGGTGGGAATGGAGCCAGGGCTCAGCTCCCGGCCCTGACAGGCCCTCGCTTGGTCCTTAGGGAGCAGCAGGAGAGGGAGAAGGCCCTGCGGCTGCAGAGGGAGCGGCTGCAGAAGGAGCTGGAGGAGAAGAAGAAAAAGGTACAGGCAGCCAGGGTGCGCTGAGCTCGACTGGGGAGCCCTGCATGGGGGCTCCTGGGTGGGAACCGCCTTGCTTGGCCGTGTGGGGTTGGCTGTGTCGGGCAGAGGACATGCACGCGGCCCCTAACCCTCGGCCGGCCGCTGTTCCCAGGAGGAGCAGCAGCGTCTGCAGGAGGAGCAGGAGAAGAAAGCCAGGGAGGTGGCCGCAGCCAGCAAGAGCCTCAACACGACCGTGGACGTGCAGGTGAGGCCGGGCCCGGAGCCGCGAGGAGCCGGAGGCCCGATGGGATCTAAGGCCCCTGAGGAAGGAGGCGCAGGAGGCCAGGAGTTCTTACTGGTCTTTCTTAATCTTAAAATAGATTTTAAAAAAAAGAGAGAAACTTAAACTTGATAAAAGAGTAGAAAGTAAAAGGAACCTCAGAGGAAAGTGTTAGATGTTTACATGCCTAAACATTATAAACAGACTGTCCATCCTGTCCTAGGCCCCGCTGCTTTAACGAGGTGGGGACCGGATGGGGACTGGGTGGGACCGGGTGGGACCCGGTGGGACCGGGTGGGACCGGGTGGCTGAAGCAGCACTTACTGAGGCTGGGACGCCAAGGCCGAGGCCAGCGGAGTCGGTGTGCTGGGGCGTCTCCCTGGCTCACAGGCAGCTGTCTTCCGCTGTCTTCCCCTGTGCCCTCGCGTGCAGGGGGGAGGGGGGTCTGGGGTCTCTTTTTGAAGGGCACTGATCCATTCACGAGGGCTTCACACCCATTACCTGAGCGCACCCCTAAGGCCCCCCTCCTGACACCATCCACAGGAGGGACGGGTCCATCAGGGATTTGGGGAGGACACAGTGTTTATTCCAGTACATGCCGCTTGGCAGCTTGATATTTCTTTCTCCTCCATTTTAAAATAATACATCGTGCACATCTCTGGGCATTTTAAGTCTCTCATGTTTGATGCACCGGCTGGTCGTACAGCATTTCTCTAACCAGCATCCGCCGGCAGGCGCTGGGGTGACTGGCAGTTGAGGCGTTACAAACTCAGCTGCTGTGGGGAAGGGTTTCAGCGCAGCACAGGAAGTGTCGCTGTGCAGACCTGCTGACCTGGAGGGACACCTGCACTGTCACACGACACGGGAAGAGGGGGCTGTGCATGTGGTGTGGCCCTGAGCCCTTTAACTTCTGTGATAGCCCCTGGGGGGAGGGGGCGCAGGAGTGGGGGAGGGGCGCTGACCCCCTTGTTTACTTTCCAGTCTCCAGCCTGCACCTCCTATCAGATGACTCCACAGGGGCACAGGGCTCCCCCCAAGATCAACCCGGACAACTACGGGATGGACCTCAACAGCGACGACTCCACCGATGACGAGTCGCATCCCCGGAAGCCCATCCCCTGCTGGGCCCGAGGTGAGCGCCGGCGCCCTGGGCCCTGGTCCTCAGGTGCCTCGGGCCTGGGGGGGGGGCTTGGCCGGGCGGCGTGGGGAGGCCGTGGTGCTCGTGGCCGGCACCCGCCTGGGGACGCGCTCAGGGAAGAGCGGGACCCTGTCCCGGGGGCTCCCCCTTGGAGCAGGTGCGGACGCCCGTGTTCTCACCGAGCACATTCGCCTGGCTCCAGGCCCTCCTTGCAGTCCTGCCCGTGGGCCATGAGACCTGGGCGTAACTAAGCAGCGGGGGATGGGATGGGGCTTCTTGAGGTGATGGGCTTAGCAGCGCCCGAGCTCCGAGGGGGAGAGGGGAGGCCCACGGAGTGGGGGCGGGCACTGGGGAGGACTGACCGCGGTTCACAGGCCCCGGCGCTGAAACAGGACGTGGGCCAGCGTGATGCGGCCTGGACCGGGTGTGCGCCCGCGGCAGTGGAGCCCGGTGCATACAGTGGCGCTCACAGGGTGCAGGGCTAGACCGGCGGCTGTAGCAGGCAGCTCGCTCTGACGCCATCTCCCTGATGGCGGCATCGGGCACGGTACCTGGGAGGTGTCCGTTAGCAGCGGTCCTTGTAGCCAGGGAGCCTGATGACCGGCAAAGCCATGTGACTGTCGTTGGCCTTTGTCAGTCTAAACTACACATCTGTGCGATGGGCGTGATCACAGCTCCAGCTGAGAAGGGTCACTGAGGAGGACGTTTGCACACTGAAGGCCTGGTGCAGAGCGTTCCCCCCAATCCTCCTAGATCTCTGTCTGCACCCCCATCTCGGGGCCCCGCTGCTGGCTGCCGAGATAAATAGCTGCGCACAGGAGTGGAGGGCGGACGGCATCATAGACTTAAGTTCTGAGCTTGGCTCCAAACCCCGGCTCTGCCTGTTACCAGCTGGGTACCTGTGGGCACAGCTCACCGCTGTAAAGGGGGGAGAATGAAGGACGGGCTCCCAAGTGGGTGTGGGATAACCAGAGCCCAGCTCTGTGAGCGCCTGAGGACCAGCGTTCAGACGAGGCTGCTGGACGACCAGGAGAGATTGATGGTGTTGGCGGGGGCGGGAGGGGCAGGTCTCCGAGGAGCCGGCCTGGCAGCAGTGGGGCCTGCTGGCATGGAGACGCTGACGGGGCTCTAGGTGGGGCGGGGGCATGGGGATCCCCAAGGCAGCGACCGGCCTGTGCCCCCTGCAGGCGCCCAGCTCAGCCAGGCCATCCTGCACCAGTACCACCAGCCCCCGAACCTGCTGGAGCTCTTCGGCACCATCCGCCAGCTGGACCTGGAGGACATCTTCAGGAAGAGCAAGCCGCGCTACCACAAGCGCACCAGCTCCGCCGTCTGGAACTCGCCGCCCCTGCAGGGCCCCCGCGTCCCCAGCGGCCTGACCTACAGCCTGAAGAAGTTCTGAGCCGCCGCTCTGCCTGTCTGTCCTCGTCAGTCTGTGCCCTCTGCCTGTGTTCTATATGTTCGCTGAATGCCCTGGTGGCCCTGGTGTGTGGAGCTGCACGCGGTGTGAGTGTGCGGGAGTCGTGGCCCAGATGCCCCGCGTGGCCGCAGGCAGCATTCTGTAAATAGGTTGCAGTATTTAGCCTGGACGCTCTCACAGGGAAGTTAATAAAGTTCATTGCTCTAAGCCTGCCGTGGGTTTTGTGAAGATCGGGGGGCCTCGGCTGACCCTGGCCCCTGGCCCCTGGCCCCTGGCCCCGCCGCCGTGTGTGTGGCCATTTATTCAAGGAGGAAATTTCTACACTACCTCTCCCAGGCAACGGAAGAGGAAAGAATACTTTCCCACTCCCTCTATGATGCCAGCCAACATTGCTGGATCCCTAAACCAGATAATTATTCTTCATGAACATCAACATAGCAGTTTTAAATGAATTGCTCGCAAGTCAAATCCAATGTGATTCTACATCAAAAGGGATAAACATCTTAATCATAAGGTTTAAACATCTTGATCATAAGGGATAAACACCTTAATCATAAGGTTTATCTCAGTGAGACAGATTGAACATTTGAAAGTCAACTAATACAATTTACCTTATCAATACATGAGGGAAACCAGGTGATTAATAGATGCTGAAGTTGGGTTTGACAATTCACTAATTTATGATAAGAGCTCTAGGCAAATGATAATTTAAAAGGAATTTTCTTGGTTTGATAAAGCTCATGGAAAAACAAAAGCAGAGAAAGGAAACTGCCTAACATCGAGGTGAGTGGATGCATTCCTCCCCACCAGGTGAATGTAAGGATGTCCACGGCTGTTGCTTCAGAACATGTCCGAGGCTCTGACTAGGGCAGTAGAGCAAAAAGGAAAAGGCACCGTAAATGAGGAATCGCTTCTCAGCCTTTTGACTAAGATCAAGTGTAAAACTGCTTTCAGAGATGACTTGTAGAAAATCTGAGAGGGTCTACCAAAGGGTTAAGTGACCAGCATGGTTGCAGAATATAAGATAAATAGATAAAAGTTGATTATATGTCTATATTCTTGAATAATCAGAAATGAAAATTAAGGAAGTGCAATTTACAATGTAAATTATAAAAATCTTAGGGATTCTAATAGAGGGAATATGCTAATTGTAATTGACTGCCATGCCCTCACAAAGATGGCGGTGCCCAGTCCCCTCAGCCCCCCAGCTGCCGAGGGCCTGCCCAGGTGCAGGCAAGCCTTGGATGTCAGCTGCCCAACCACCCAGGGCCACCTGAGGCTCAGGTAACCAGGGCCGGCCAATGCTTGCACTGCCGGCAGTAGCAGCAGCAGAGGTGTGACGGCTTTGCCTTCCCATGATTGCTGGGTCACCTCCTGCACCTGAGGGCTCCTGGACTCAGAGGGGCAGGTGTGGCTGAGGGACCCCCTCTTCCCCTGCATTCCAGTGCATAAATTTTCATGCCCTTGGCCTCTAGTAAACTTAATAAAAGACACGAAAGACCTGGAGTATAAAATACTACAGAAGCCGAGACCGGTTTGGCTCAGTGGATAGAGCATCAGTCTGCAGACTCAAGGATCCCGGGTTCGATTCCAGTCAAGGGCATGTACATTGGTTGCAGGCACAGCCCCGGTGGGGTATGTGCAGGAGGCAGCTGGTCAATGTTTCTAGCTCTCTGTCCCTCTCCTTTCCTCTCTGTGAAAAATCAATAAAATATTTAAAAAAAAAAATAAAATATTGCTGGGAGCTTCCAGGGAGACCATGGGACTGTTGTGTATCCTGACTGTGGTGACAATTCCAGGAATCCATACGTGTGCTCATTCAAAACCCTGTACACCCAAAGGGCCAATGTTATGGTAGTGATAATTTTTCAAATAAAACGCTAAAAAGTTCCCCGGCCGGCAGGGCTCAGTGATTAAGCATCGACCTATGAACCAGGAGGTCACGGTTTGAATCCTGTCAAGGGCACATGCTCGGGTTGCGGGCTCCAACCCCCGTGTGGGGCGTGCAGGAAGCAGCGGGTCCATGATCTCTCTCATCATTGATGTTCTCTCTCCTCCCTCTCTGAGATCAGTAACCACACATTTAAAAACACCCCCACCCTGAGTGAAGGTGGTGAGGCCCCTGCTGTCACTGGCTGGAGCCCTCTGTCCCGGAGCCAGGAGTGGGAGAATGGGGATTTTTAGACAAAGGGACATTTTTTTCTTATTTGCATGTCCCATACCCCCTCCCCCCCTTATTTTGTTGAAGAATGTTTGTCTCCCCCCACCCCCCCTTCCAGGGCTCAGGCACACTCCGTGCTCAGGAACCAGCTGTCCCAAGAGCGGGCTCGGGCCTCTTCTCAGACCTAGATGCAGTCCTGGTGGAGGCCGTGCCCTGTCAGAGGGCACGTGCTGGGAGCTGCCAGCTGAGGGGCCTTGGAAACGGTGCAGAGCGGGTGGGAGGGAGTGGGAAAGGGCCCAGTCCCCAGGCCCTGCTGTCTCATAAATTTGGCATTTGCTCCTAGATTATTAATCCAGCTATTTACAATCCCCTTAGTTTCAATCACTTCCTTTGTGGCTCTCATTTCCCGGATGTCGGGCCTTTTACATGGAACGTGGGGTAAGAAGAGCAGTCAGGTCCCCAGGGGGACTGGCATTCAGGGGAAACAGCCTGAGGTTTCCTTAGACTGAGAGCAATTGTGAGCCCTCCCCACCAGGGGACGCTGTTCCATGCAGAACCTGGGCTCTCCCTGGACACGTGCAGTCTACTGCCCGCCACCAGGTAGCGCCTTAGGCTTTCTGTTTGCAGGCTATGGCCAAAGAGACTCCAAATGAGTTTCACTTGGATTTGGACTCCTCTTGTCTCCTTTAAAAAAAAAAATATCCTCACCTGAAGATATTTTCCCATTGATTTTTAGAGACACTGAAAATCCACACTGTCCACTGAGCCAACCCCGCCGGCCAGCTCTTCCCTCCTGGACAAAGAGGCCTTCCCATGGTCCCCTCCTACCCCCAGTTGCTCTTCCGAAGTCACACCCACAGGGCAGCCGGCCAGAAACTGAGGCCGCCAGGGGCCAAGGAAGCTTGAGACAGAGATGCCTCTGAGCCAGGGGGAAGCGCAAGCATGGAGGGCACGGGGCCTGGAGGGCAGCAGGTGGCCACCCTGGTGGTAGGGAAGCCCGGGAGGGGAAGGAGGAGGAGCCTGGGGGAGGGAGGTGGCTCCGAAGTGCCTCTTTGAGAGGAATGTCAGGGGCTGCAGGGATGGCTTCACACCGAGGCGCATCATCGGACTGAGGCTCGGTGCTGAGTCTCATACAGACGCTGTTGAATTCCTGTTATTTCTTGTGAAGACAGAATGGCCTCCGGGTGCTGACACTCAGACACATTAGAGGCCTCACTCCAACTGATAGTCCACATGAGTCCCCGTGGGAAAGGGGAACCTGCACCCCAAATCCTGATGTTGCTGAGCGCTCCCCTGCCCTTCCCTGCTGCCCTGGGAAGGCATCAGGGCCCCAGAGTGATGGCTGCAGGGGCAGGTTCCACACTGGACCTGGGAACGGGCTTGCTTCCCCTTCATCGACACGGCAACGACCTCCCTGTCCCCACGGCCTCTCCTCTCCGTCCCTGTCACCATCACCACGGCCTCTCCTCTGTCACTCATCCAGCGTCGGAGACTGAGGCTGTCAGACAGAAACAACGTCCAAAAGGGAGCGTAAAAGCACTCCATCGGCTGCCGCAAGGTCAAAGCCGCAACCCCAATGGGAATCCACGTCACCTGGGGCTGAGTCCACAGCACACGGAACCTGGGGTTCATGTCTGCCCATCCTCCTCTGAAATCCCCCCAAATACTAAATACAAAACCACAAAGTGGTCTGACCAGCCACAGGGTAATATTGAAGAAAAGGCAGTCAGGTCCCCAGTGTGGCGGGGGGAGGAACTGGGGGAAAGTGGCCACATCTGGTGAGAAGAGTCTCCAGGTGGACAGAGCTGGAGGGGCACCTGGTGAGATGTAACTTCAGCAGGAGTGCGGGCCCAGCAGGGGCTGGAAAAACTCCCTAGAGGGAGCAGCTTTCTGTGCAAAGGCGGAAGGGGAGTGCAGTGTAGGGATTGAGCCTACAACTCAGGAACCATGACCTCCGGGTTCATAGGTGGATGCTCAAACCCTTAGCCAGGGCGGCCGGGCGCTTCCGTTTCATCGCTGACCCTCGGGAAAGACAGGACACTGAGCCCCACAGGATGACTGAGTTCTGGCGAGAGTCAGAGAAGCAGAGGAAGGAGACCATCTCTGAGGCCCAGCCTAACCCACCCCCTTCACCCCATGTCCTAGGCTCCCTCTGCAGCTCAGAGCTTGGAGCAGAAAGTCAGAGCATTGCTGGGTGCAGGCGCTGTGGCAGGCACTCTGTGGGGGGACATAAGAGGGGGCCTTGTGCAAAACTCCTGTGTGTCCCCAGAGCCTGGGGCCTGGATCTCAGGGCTCAGTGCACAGGGCAGGGGAGAAGCAGTGGCATGGCTTGTGGAGTGTGTAAGGTGAGACATGTTGGTGATCTGGGCCCCATCCGGGACTTTCCAGTTTTTGATGCTTCTTATCAAAGTGAAATGTGTCTCTTAATGCACTGAAGGAGGCCTTGTTTCATGTTCTATATCGATGGGGGTGTTATTTATTGATCAAACAGAGGCCCTTTATTGGTGTCCCTTGTTCGGGCGTCATAATGCCGGGCTTCTCTTCCCAGCCTCACAAAGGGTTCAGCATTCTGGAGAAAGGGGCTGCGTGTAGATGATTAAAGAGTCTGGAGACCAAAGGTGATTTTGAAAAGTATTGGGGGTCAGAGGATCATCAGCTAAAGAGCTAAAGACTGACTCTTGTCTAAGGACCCATGGTATTTATTTAACACAATTGTCCTAAGGCAAGGTGCAGATAATACACTTCCAAGGGTAGGGTAAGAGAAGCATTGTCAGTTTGGGGAATGGCCTACAGCTGTTCAGATGTTTGGCCAACAGGAGGTAATCAAATGCCCTGAGCTGTGTAGCAGCAGACAATCCTATTCAGGTTTGGGGGAAGTGCCTTTTAACCATTTCCAACAGGTAAACTCTTTGTGTATCTCAACCTTGTTGAGCCGTCCAATCCCCGTCTACCTTTTGATGGAACTCTTGTAATTATTACATCCTAGAATTGGTTCCCAGCAGCCCTTTTAGTCCTGCCTTTCATCCTTAGGAGTCTGGCTCTAAACATGCTTGTCCCATGATTGTGTGGGTGTGAAGAGAATGAGCCATGTCACTCAATTCTATGGGTCAAAAATGGCCTGTGATCTACCACTCACTGTTATTGCAGGGGCCTCATGCAGCGGGGATCACCCTTTTCCGCGTCCCGCATGGAAAGAGAGATGAACGAACCAGTTCTAAGTGGAGGCGGCCAGGGATTGAGAAATAATAGAAATAAAGAGAGAAGACGCAGAGATAGATTTTAAGCTGGGAGCTGGGTGGGATGCCATCCTTCCTCTCTGATGGAGAGGCTAAAACAATGAAGGCGATGACCCCTCCCAGCGCATTTATTTTATACCCAACACCAGGAAGTTATCACCGAATTATTTGCATTCTTAAGTGGGTCCTAGCGTGCCTGGATTTACATATCTAGTCCGGACCCTGCAGACACCTGGACTTGATGAAGGCCAAGCTGATTACACTTCCCGCCATCTTGGGGAAATGTATATCTTAAACCCGGCTCTGCCCATCGTCTTGGTCTCAGCTGGCAACAATGAAAAGAAATGACCATGTGCCCTCCTAGGTGGGCCTTTACAGTTCTTACAGTGGGGCAGTGGTTTAGCATTGACCTATGAACCAGGAGGTCACGGTTTGATTCCCGGTCAAGGGCACATGCCCAGGTTACCTGCTCAATGCCCATTGCGGGGCGTGCAGCCAATCAATGATTCTCTCTCATCATGGATGTTTCTATCTCCCTCTCCCTCTCCCTTCTTCTCAGAAACCAATAAAAATATATTAAAATTACGATTAAGGAGCTGTCAGCTCCAGCTCAGAGTCCTTATTGATTTCATTGGAACCGAGGACAGGAGTTCACTGTCACAGAGTCCCACCAACATCATGACGCTTGCCCGTTGACGCCAGAGTTGTACCTGCGGAGGGAGTGCCTGCAGGGTCTGTCGTGATGTGGGCACCTTCGTCCTGTGATACGGAACAGGAGGTGTGTGACGGGAGAGACCATGGTGACACGTGTCTCCAGAGGCTGCGGAGATGGCACAAGCCCACTGGGACCTCATGACGCAGAGGTGACGTCTGAGGCGCCTCCACCCCAGGCACCTGGGACCGGTTAGAGCCTGAGCAATGGAGGGGCCCTGGGATCCAAGGGGCACACGTGGCCAGCGCTTCTTGCTGAGGGCGGAGAGCAGAGACCCCGAGGGCCTTGGGGACATGATCCCCGTCCCCTGCCTCCTCCTGCACCCTGACTCCAGTGCCCGTGTGCAGGTCACAGAGTCACAATGAGCCTGGCTTCCCTGTGTCCATTGGACAGACAGACAGGTGACTGGGAACTGACAGCTGGTGGTGACTGAGCGCGATCCCAGTCAATCCAGAGCCCACGCAGGAGCGAGCAGACCTAGGAGAGGCCGCCGGGTGTTGGCCGTGGGGAGGAAGTAAGCCACTTCTGTGTGACTGTCACTCACGGTTTTCCGTTCCGGGGCATAACCGGACGGCTGGCGCGGACGGCCAGGCACCGTGCCGAGCCTTTGTCCTGGAGGAACCCCCGGGTCCTCACACGTCCGTGGGGCCCCCCTGGTGTTACAGACGGGGACACTGAGGCAGGAGGGCCAGCGCCTGCTGGAGGCCGCCGTCTTAGATGTCTCAGAGGCTGGTTCGTTACCTGCTCCTGAGGACCAGCTTGTTGGCCTGCTGGGTGCTGCCCCCGGTCTGAAGGGAGGTGTTCACAAGTGGAGCCTCTGTGTTTGCTGGTCTGTGTTCACAGCAGCTTGTAGTTCCCAGAAAACAGAGGGAAAGTGGGAGGGCCTGGCCGGGCAGCTCAGTGGCTGAGCGTCACTCTGTGCAGAAGGGTTGCAGGCAGATTCCTGCTCAGTCCCCACCCCAGATGCCTCCAGAGCGTCCGTCCCGCAGGCACAGAGGGCCTGGTGCTCCCCACAGCCCTGGTGGGATTGAAGACTGAGAGAGAGTAGAGAGAGCCCCCACGCCCCTCACCCCCACCTTCCGAGCATCAGGCCCGGTGCTGCGGGGACCCCAGGGGCGCGGGTGCAGGGTGGGAGCGAGGTGAGAGGTTGGGCAGCTCACACGGACCTTGCCACCCCCTCCCTCGTCCTGCCGAGTGGCCGGGCTCTTGTGCTTCTCCTCCCGCGACGAGGACGAGTCCCTGATGCCCGCAGCCCGCAGGCCGAGGCCCCTCAGGGGGCTTTCTGCCAGGGGAGGAGGGAGCAGGGAGGAACGAGGTCGCCCTCAGCCAGAGCCCTGGACGGAGCAGAAACCCAGAGGCGCTCAGTTGACCGAGACCTTCAGGCCACGCACCCCCTTCCGTTCGGGGACCCCACTCCCGGCACCAGTCAGAACCCTGTCTGTGCTGCGTGGCCTCACATTCGCAGCCCTGTCCCTGCCCCACGGCCTCTCTCCGGGTCCTGCGGCCTCCCTGCCCCATGGAGCAGCAGCCACGGCCGGCACAGGTGGAGGACCGGCCTGCGGGCGCGTCTGCTGGGGGCCCGATGCCCACAGGGGCCACCCCAACACCGACACGGTAGCATCCACCAGCACATGTGGGTGCCGATGGGTCAGAAATCATGGGGGCTCTGACCCGGAGCTCAAGGCAGAAGGGGGCGGAGGGAGGGCTGTCTTCCTCTGGGCTCTGCTTTCTCTGGGGAAGCGGACAGCACGGACATGGCTCCCTTTAGTGCCCGCAGCAGCCCTGGCACAGTGGGCACCATGGACCCCAAAGGGGCGACCCGCCACGCCGATCGCTCCTGCACTCGGGGTCCCTCCTCTCCTGCAGGGACACGTGGGGACCCCCTCTATGAGTCAGGCCTGGGGTGAGGAAATGAGAATGCGGCCCCGGCTGCACGGAGGGAGCTGCCTCCCAGGGGCTCCCTCCACCGAGGGGTGCGCACTGGCCACCCTCCCACCACGGGCGGTGCCCCAGGGAGCCGTGTAGGTGCCAGTGACGCCTGGCTCCGACCATGTCCCCAGGCTGTGGCGTGACGGATGGCATCAGCCCTCCACGTGGAAGGTTGGGCTGGAAGTCAGGCCTGGCACCTGCCGGTCCCCTGAGGGCGGCACCCGGGAGGCTCACTGGGTACAAATGGCCCTGAGCTCCCAGTCCGCTCACCCAGCTCCTCTCGGTACCTGCTGACTCCTCTGTGTTCTGGCCACAGGCACCATGAAGCTGGCCCTGCCTCTGCTGCTGGTCACCCTGGCCCTTTGCTGCCCCGACGGTGAGGGTCCCTTCCACGCAGACACGGCGGCCGGAGGACCTTCTCCGGTCCCGGGGACGTAGATGGGGAGGGGGACGGGTCAGAAGGAAACCTTTCCTATTCCCGGGGCACCAGCCCCCCAAGCCCAGGTCTGGGGGTGTCACATCCTGGGTCTGGAACTTCTACAGAAAGCACAACCGTCAAGTGCCAGTCCCGTGGGCAGCCACGCCGCCGGGGCTGGTGCAGAGGCAGCAGACGGAGCCCGCTCCTGTGGTCAGGGCTCTGCCCGGCAGCGCTGGGACCCAGGCACCAGGCCATGTCCCCAGGCCTCTCCTCCTGGGTCAGGGTGCCGGCAGGAGGGGGCGATGGCAGGAAGGAGGTGGTGGAGCCGGCCTGGTCTCACCGACGCCTCCTCTGAGGTCTCTGGGGCCGGTGAGCAGAGGCGGCTGGGCTCCTGGGTTCAGACCCGGAATGTTCCAGCAGGAGGGGCTCCGTTTGGAGGAGCAGAGCCGCCTGAGGCTCGGAGGGCCGGTGTCCACGTGGCTCTGAGACCCAGAGGCGCTCTGGGGCCGGCAGGCCTGGGCCGCCAGGGGCCCCCAGGGGCCCCGTCAGGACGAGCAGAGCCCAGAGCGGAGGTGGAGGGGCCGTGGGCAGCAGTTGGGGCGTCTTTCTGCCCTCGGGCTGAGCCAAGTCCTCTGGGCGCTCTTCCACCGACTGTGCTGACCAGTCCTCTCTCCCCGAGGCCTCTAACCCCCCCGCCTAATGCAGTGTGGCCTCTGACCCCTCCTTCCACCTCCCTGTAGGGCAGCCTCTGACCCCTCGCTCCACCTCCCTGCAGGCGGCTACCCAGGTGGGAGGGTCCTGGTGGGGAGCAGTCCCAGCTGCAGGCAGCTGCACAGGCCTGAGGGTGGGGACAGAGAATGCAGACCTGGGTCTCAGCACGACCCACAGGGTGGAAAATCAGCCCAGTCCCTGCGACCCTCTGGGAGGTCTGTCCATCAGGGTGGAGCCAAGGAGCCAGTCTTGGTCTGGGCATCAGCGTCGGAGGTGACCTCACAGACGTCCTTGGTTAAGCAGGAGACCTCCCATCCCATGATGTGGTCCTGGGGGCAGACGGAGCCCCGGAGCCTCCTCCCTCCCTGGTTGCTCTCCTGCCTCCTCTCGGCCTGTACTGTCTCCCTCTGGGCCCGCTGCTGGGGCCTGCCTCTGCCTTCCCTGGGATGGCTGGCGGCTGACAGCTCCCTGCCCAGGCGCCAGGCCAGTCCGGAAGGGGCTGTGTGAGAGGAAGAGTGGAGTCTGAGGCCCAGGCACAGTGACTGGCACAGCCGGGATGTGGGGAAGCCCTGGGTGCACTTGGTGCCGTGAGAGTGACCAGGGCGTCCCCTGGGCGCCATCCCAGTCCCGCTGCATGCTCTGCGGCTGCGCCATGAGGACGGGGAGGCGCACTTCCCTGGAGGAGCTGTTCCCGCCCTGCGTCCTGTCTCGCTCTGGGGCCACAGAGCATGGCAAAGTGACTTCCTACATCAGCTGTGTTTCTCTCTCTCCGGCTCCAGCTAATGGGGTGACAATGTGTCCAGCCCTTCAATCTGAGATAAACACCTTTCTGGTGGGGAGTCAAGAGGAATTCCAGAATGAGATTAGTAAGTTCAATCCACCTGCAGAAGCCATGCAGGACACACTGAAGGTGAAGACATGCGTGAACAAACTCAGCCTATTGGAACGATTGGCGTTGGTCTTCGTAGTGGTAACTTCCTTTTCCTTTCTGCACGAGGCTGCTGCTCAGACCAGGGGCAAACGGGAGGAGGGCGCTGCCCTGGGGGACGCAGGGGGAGCTGACCACCACGCTGTCTCTCTGAGGAAACCAGACATTGGGGGAGGGAGGTTAGTTCCTTCACCCCCAGTGAGGCCCGGCGCTAAGCATGTGTCCCCCGTGTGGACACCCCAGGGCGCCACCAGGTGCAGGTCCGCGCCTGAGCTGCAGATCTCCGCAGCAGATCCTCCCTCCGCCCCCGCCCCCACCCAATCCCACCTCCGCGTCCACTCCTGAGTGAAAAGTCCCGTCCTGGGACCTGGGACTCAGAAAAAGCACATCCCGGGGGCTCCATGCCGTGTCCCCCTCCCGGCTCCCTCAGACACAGAGGCCGCTCCTGGGCCCTAGCTCTGCGGGGCCGTGGCCGGGGCTCCGGGGGATGTGTCTGTGGTCGTGGCACCGGGACCATTGGACGCCCCACCGGCTCCCGGGCCGCCCGCTGCCCGGGGCCGTCGCTGCTGGCAATGTCTCTGGTTTTGGTTGTGAACACACTCTGCCCGCGGCCTCTCCAGGGCAGCCTGACTGACAGCCTGTCTCTCTCTCGGTCTATTGCAGCAGATTGTTGAAAACAAGTGTAAGAAGGATTCTGCGTAAACCTTACCTACGAACGCCCTGTCTCTCAGTGATGGGCTGACCTTCCCTGGCAAATGCAGAGGTTTCAACGTCTTGCTTCAATAAATCACTTTCCCTGCACGATGTCTCTGCCTGTCCTGTTTTATCCGGTCTCTGGCCGTGGGGGAGGAGGGGGCATCATGAGGGGCGGTGGGAGGCGACAACAGTGCATCGTGCTGACCCGATGGACAGTGACCGTGGCGCCAGACCACAGGGATCAAGAGGGACCGTGGGCTCCGGGCCCGGCCCGTGTCCCTGCACAGGCTCCCAGCCCGGCTGCATGAGCCACGCCGGCTCCGCACCTCCATCCCCGAGGCGCCCACGCAGCCAGCCGGACGCCTGAGAGCTCTGGCCTCGTGTCCAGCGGCTGCTGTGGCTCAGGGACCGTTCTCCAGGGGCAGGACAGGAGGCTGCAGTCTGTCTCTCTGCCCAGACCCAGGTCCGGAGGCCCTGCTGGCTGCCCGAGGCCAGGGCCAGCTCTTCCTGGCGGCTTCCCGCTGGTAGTCGATGGCAGGCCTGGTCTGCTCCAGGGGCTGCAGGGCCCCCGCGGAGCTGCCATTGCGCCTCCTTCCTGTGGGGGATGGCAGAGCGCAGACCCAGGAAACCCAGGGTGGTCGCCCAAACTCAGCATCTGCCCCTTGATCGCAGCTGCAAAGTCCCCAAGGAAAGCAGGGACCCCCAGGGCTCAGGGCGGGGAACTTGGGGCGATGACCCCAGGGCTGCTCCTCTGATCCTGACACCTGAGAGTCACCCTTGGCCCCTCCACGGCCCTCCCTTGCACAGCCTGTCCTTTCCATCTGCACAGCCATCATCTCCCGGCTTGTGCCCACGGCTCCACCCCGGGCCCCTGGCGGAGCTGCCCTCCCTGCCCTGCGCCTGGGCACCCACACGCAGTGACCTCACAGGAAGGGGGTCGGCCCTCCTTCTGCTCCTGAGAGCCTGGGCCTGGGCCTCCATGTTTCCAGGACGAGGACTGGCCATGAGTCCTCAGCGCCTTCCGCGAAGAAGGGCACATGAGGCCCCCGTGCTCTCTGCTCTCTGATGCCCTGCGCTCCCCAGTGAGTGGCAGGGTCTAGGCGGGAACACGCACACTCAGCTGACTCCTTCCTGAAGCCCAGGATGTGCTCAGCCTCCCACCCGAGCGTGGCAGGCGCAGGATTCTTGAGCTCTTGCCACAGCCTGAGAGACACAGGCTGGAGTCCCGTCTGGAGGGCCGAGGCCCCAGCTGGTGCTGCACACAGGGCCTGGCAGGATCTGGGCCAGCACCCTCCCCTTCTCCCTGCCAGCCCGGATCTGTGCTCCGCCTGCCTTGTCCACATGCCACTCACGCAGGCGGTGCGCTGGTCACACCCCGCACCTGGTCATGTGGGCGTGGCTCTGCCTCCACATTGCCCCAAGCACAGGACAGGAGACCTCCTCTGTGAGGTCCATTCCACATCTTCCCTCCCGAGGCCCTCTCTCACTCTCACCCCTAAAACAAGCCTTTACACACAGACATACAATTCACCCTCAGCCACACTCACAGAGATACACATTTTCACACAGAGTATACGCATAGCAAGACCCATGCATACACACACGCACATACACACAGCCATGCATACACAAATGCACCCACACAGCCATGCACACACACATGCACACAGGCACAAATGAACATAGACAATCACACATAGAGACACATGCACACACAGGCTGAGTGAGCCATGTGTCCTCAGTGTCCTTCTGTGACTTATTATTCGCATTGCAGAGTGGCGGTGAGAACTCAGTGAAGACAGTGATGACACCGAAGGACAAATGGCATTGCCCACTGCTGTGATTCCCAAACTGCATCGGAGTTTGCCAGCAGCGAGTAGCCCCTGGGCAGAGGGCAGACGTGGCCCTGGAGGTAATAGTCCTGCCTCCCATTTCCTGGAGCGTGGTCTCCAGGAAGATGAGAGTCCACTGTCGTGCATTGTCGGAGGCTAAAGCCAACAGCAGGTAACTTCAAAAAGAGGCAGTGGACGGCCAGTGGGCCTGGGTGTCCAGCAGGGCTCACTATCAGCTCCAGCTCTGCTCCTGCCGTGATGGCCATGGCTCCAGGCGAGTTCCGACCTGATAACCTTTGCATTGTTTCCCCGAACTTTACCTTTGATTTGCTGTAGGCTTTGCTAAAGGGCGAAGGTGTCTTCACAGTGAATAAAAAGCGAGGGGACCAGTCTTGGGTGCCTCATCACCAAAGAGGTTTTCACCTGACCCCCATTCCTTCCACACTGGTATTAGTTTTTTTTTTTTTTTTTTTTTTTTTTTTTAATTTTTATTTAGAAGTTACATTCTTTTTTCTTTTCTTTTTTTTTTTTAAATATATTTTATTGATTTTGTACAGAGAGGAAGGGAGAGAGAATACGCATAGCAAGACCCATGCATACACACACGCACACGTATACCCATGCCAACAGCTCAGGGGAAAGGCCTGTGCAGGTACGTCACAGAAGGACACAGAGAGGACACATGGCTCACTCAGCCTGTGTGTGCATGTGTCTCTATGTGTGCATGTCTATGTTCATTTGTGCCTGTGTGCATGTGTGTGTGCATGGCTGTGTGGGTGCATTTATGTATGCATAGAGAGTTAGAAACATCGATGAGAGAGAGTCATCAGTCAGCTGCCTCTTGCACACCCCCTACTGGGGATATGCCCGCAGTAGGGGGTGTGCAAGAGGTACATGCCCTTGACCAGAATCGAACCCAGGACCCTTCAGTCCGCAAGCCGACGCTCTATCCATTGAGCCAAACCGGTTTAGGCTGTTTTTTTTTTTTTTTTTTTTTTTTTTTAATATTTTTTATATTTTATTGATTTTTCACAGAGAGGAAGAGAGAGGGATAGAGAGTTAGAAACATCGAAGAGAGAATCATCGTTCAGCTGCCTCTTGCACACCTCCTACTGCGGATGTGCCCGCAACCAAGATACATGCCCTTGACCGGAATCAAACCTGGGACCTTTCAGTCCACTGGCCAAAGCTTATCCACTGAGCCAAACCGGTCTTGGCAACATTGGTATTTCTTGTATAGCATTCTCATTTGTGTGTCAGCCCCTCCTTTGATCCTGAAACCTCACTGAACAGGACACAGCAGACTGTCACCCCATCAGACATGGGGATGAACGAAGTACTCGCCTGGCCCCTACAGCCTCGGGTCCTCTCAGAAAGCACCAGGAAGAATCAAAAGCAGAGATGCCCCTGCCCTGCCCAGGACTAAGGTGTGGGGATCTCTGTGGGGAGAGCCCACATGGTCCCCAGGCCTCACCTTCCCACCACCCCGCCCCCGCAGGGCGGCCCCCAGTGCCTGAGGGTCAGCAGCTCCCAGCACAGCAGGTGCCCTGGGACCCTGCCCTTGGTTGCCCCCCTCTCTAACCTCCCAGCCCTGCCAGCCTCGCAGCTGCAGGTCCAGCCTCACTCCCAGGCTGTGCCACTGAGAGACCTGGGCCTGCACAGGCCTTTCCCCTGAGCTGTTGGCAACGGGGGAGGTGGCCCCAGGCTGCACAGGCTGGGCTAGGGGAGGGGAGGTGACTGTTTGATGGGGAGCCTCTGTTTGGGCTGAATCTGGATGGACAGAGGTGACCTAAGGACGGTGCATTCAGCAATGCCAGTAAATGCTACACGCAAAGGAGGTGAACACGGTGAATGCTATGTTGTGTATGTTCTACCAAACACACAGGAAAGCACCACACAGCTGAGGGCTCTGAGAGGCGCCACAAGGACACCCGGAAGAGGGAGCAGGGCCTGCATCCCCCCCCCAATGCACCCTCGAGGCTGTCCACACTCCCATCAGGCCATGTCCGCTGTCCACTCGCTTCCTAGAGTAGGAGCTGAGAGTCATGTTCAGAAAGCAGTCTCCTCAGGCCTGTGGGTGCATCAGAACCTCCCCTCCTGTCCCAGCCCACACCTCATCTTCCTCCCCTCCTTCCCTTCTGCTTTTCTCGCCCAGAGGCCTCCAGCCTTTCTGAGGTGCCAGCGGCATCCAAACAGAGAGAGACAGACGCTGGCAAGCTGTTCCTAAACCCGTGTTCTGTGAGACTGCTCCAACCCTCGGGGCCGGGAAGGGCTCTCCCGTGGGGCCCTTCCCGGGTCTTCAGGAAGCTCGGTGACCGAGCTCCGCTGCTGTCTTCAAGGGGAATAAACATTCGAAGTCAAACAAGCTGCTCTGGCAAAAAAAAAAAAAAAAGGCTGGAAAATTATAAAGCACCTGGAAGACAGAGCAGAATAGTGTAACAAGTCCAGAAATGTGAGGGGAAAGAACAGAATGGTAAGGCTGCCATTCAGGAGGTCCAACCAACAGGATTGCAAAATGAGAGCGATCCAGGTGGAAAGAAAGTCACCAAAGAAACATTTCAAGCAAATCTCCCCACAGTGAGGAATATGAAATGAGCCCGGCCAGCATGGCTCAGTGGTTGAGCATCGACCTAGGAACCAGGAAGTCATGTTTCCATTCCCGGTCAGGGCACTTGGGTTGTGGGCTCGATACCCCACAGTGGGTATGTAGCAAGTAGCTGATCAAAGATTCTCTCTCGTCATGGATGGTTCTCTCTCTCTCCCTCTCTCTTCCTCTCTGAAATCATAAAAATACACTTAAAAACAGAATAGGAGATGGAATAGTCACTCATTGCCCACATCAGACACCTCTGTGTGCCTCTTTGGAACAAGGCCCTAAGGAAGAAGCTCCTTTCAGGAGGAGACACACGTCTCAGGCGAGGATGGGAACAAAACAGAATCCACACAAGACTGGGAGCCACTGAGGGACACTGACACTTCAGAGGTTCTGACCTGTCAGTGACCAGGACTAACATCCTACATGCAGCTCACTACCATGTTAGCAGAAAGAAATAAAAATATTCCTCAATGCAGATCTTCAAGAGCTTGATTTGCAGTGTTCTGTCCCTCAGAGTCAGGGAGAAATTCGCTCTACATAAAGGAGCAGACAAAAAAATACCCACAACACACAAGCAT